GTTATTTGATAAGTTTTTACTTTAGAAAGCATTACATCAACACAGTCCTGTCATAAAACATCCCTCCATGCAGCACGGTTTCTGCCAGAATAACAGCCAGCACATTTATGTTTTTTTTCTAATTAACACCAGAACTAATTATGCTGGCAGTATAAGCCTGGCCTGTCATAAGTATTTAAAGAAACTTGTGCCGTTCCACTTCCTGGTTCACTTCACATTATCATCATTAATGTGTACAGTACTTGTTGAGGAAACAAAAGCGCTGAGGCAGACCACATGCAAGGCATAAAAGTTCTTACTAATGGGCCTGTACCTGGAAATTAGACCAGAAACAAAGCTACACTGGTTTATTTATCACCAAATATGTTGTTGCACATATTCCAGTCATCTCAAAAGGTTTTAATCTTTTTCTTTATATTCTCAGGCCATGTACCACCATCCACAGGTAATTTGTTTCCTAGGGTGACAACTCTTGCACAGTTCAGCTGCAAGCATTGTCACCAGGGCCGGATTTACTCTCTCTGCTGCCCCAATGCCAGGTTCTTAATGCTCCCCCCTGTATGCAGGCTGCATACAAGTGATCTCGAAGACACCACCGAGATTACTCGTACAAAACAAAGGCAGGTCCCCGCTGTACATTTAGCAGTGCTTGCCCAAAGCAGGGCTAAATGTAGAAAACAACTACCCGCCTGGCACCCGGAACTGCATGTCCCGGGCGTCAAGAGATAGGAATTCTAAACCCCTGCTGCCCCTCTACTGCCTGCTGCCCCGAGGCCAGGCCTCGGTTGGCCTTGTGGGAAATCCGGCCCTGATTGTCACCCTCTTCTGCATACTCCTGAGTTGAACTACAAGCAGCTGTGTCAAAGTGCAGTGCAGTGGCACATTCCACCCTAGTCACCACAGTAAAACTGGGTTACTCAACAGTGCAACTGGAGTTAGCACATATGCACAAACATGCATACAAAAACCGTTATCGTTTTCTTTTAAAGTGGACCTTTACCCATATCTTTAAAATAACAACAAACACAACTTTAGAAATATAAAAAAATTACAATCTACAAACACATACTTTTAGATAATTGCCGACTTTGTATTCTTTGCATACCTTATTTCTCTTTTCTTCCCCAGTCTTCTAACAGTGGCCATGTTTACTAAGGGCAGATTACTAGCTCTCAATTTACTTCCTGGATTTCTGGCACATGTGACCAGGACATGTGACCATGCACATCATCTCAGGGGAGGACAATGTCTTTCCCTGAGATCTCCTGAGATTGCAGATGAGATTTTCCAGCAATGCTCTGCTGATGACAAGGCAATCCCAGTGTGCATTGCTTTGGCAAACTGAAGTCATTTTGCCCTTTTAGAGCATGAAGTGAATGCTCTGCAAGTGTAAGTATTTCAAAACCACAGCATTTTGCACTGGACATGTCTATGTTATTATTAATCATCATACATAGAGGGATGCATTGGTAGAATTCGATTTTTAGGTGTAAAGGTCTGCTTTAAGTGCAACTCAAGACCTCATTGCAATAATGCTCTGTCATTTATACATTGTTTTATGTTCTTCTGGGCACAGTTTTCCTTTACTTTAACCCTTTTATTTCACTATAGTAAAGAATGGACTCGTGGTCATAGACTAGTGGAAGAGAGGAACAGAGGTGAGCGATAGCACCTCCAAAAGAGTGCTTGATCATAGTATTTGGCTGAAACTAAGTGTGACTGCTATGTCTGGTTTTATGAATTAAAGTGACACTAAACTCAGGAGTTAAATCTTAAAAATGCATTTAAGTTTAAGTTATCTTATTTGTGTATCGCTCGTCTGACAATCTCAATACAAATTAGTAAACTAAACATGAGACTGTAGTCCATCACAGGAGTGAGCTTGGAACGGTGGCTACTTTACAACACACACAGGGACCAATAAATGTATTTTTAAAATGTAACTCCTAAGTTTAGTGTCAGTTTAAGTAAATAAGGAAGATTTTACCTGGATGTAGAACCATGTGCAAACACTTTTTCTACTGTTTATGACAAAGGGCAGGTGGAAGTCCTAGTTGGGCACTGGTGTTTCATGGAACTGCATTGGAGGAAGGAGGTAGAGCACTTTCTGTTTGTCCTGAGCTTATCTTCAATTTCTCAAACCCATTAACTAGACTTTGCATAAGGCTAAACTCCAGCTGTGGGGGGGGGGGGGGGGCACACAGCACCAGTCACATAAGTTACCACTAATAAAGCATACCATGTTCTGCTGACTGGAAGGAGGAATGGTTGGCGAAATCCTCCTTCCATTGATACTGGATATACCCCACATCGGTAATCTTCCGGTGCTTTGGGGGCTAAGAACTGTAGCTGTGACTGTGAAGGATCATGCCATTGGCCCTCCCCTTCATCTCCCCTCATCTATTCACAAACCTTCAGTATTACTTTTACAGAATGCAAGGTGTTATGTGAATAAACAAGGGTCGGCCCTGTCATTGATCTGCCATCCCCCATTCACATAGAGCCTTGCATTCTAAGAAAAAAATGCAGACTTTTGTGAATAGATGAGGGGACAGGAAGGGGTGCGAGAAGAAGGCAATCATTGCGCCAATTACATATATAATAAAGATGGAGTATCAGTTTTCCTTAAAAATATCTCCAATGTAAATAGAAAACTAACATTGAGTCATTTATGTGAAGAATAGTTTTCACAGAGCACAGACAGATGCCAAAAAATAATCTCCTTAGCAAACATACAATTGACAACAAGTGCCTTTCAAGTCACACAACAAATATCTAACACAAGCAGATAGAACAGCAGATGCTTAATGATTTTCTACTTGTGCTTAAATGGAATTTATCTTCAGCTGTCGACTGGGCATATGTTTCCTAAAGAAGTAAACATTGTTTCATGTTGAAGTTTGGGATCTTTGATTATTGGTTTCTTGAAGCTGTCATTAGGAAATTATGATATTGAACACAGTAATATGCAGTTAATTCCAACTTTGAAGCCATCTGTCAGAATCCTCCATATACTGATTTACCTGTTGGCCAGACTGGCTGCAGTGTTATATATTTTACTTATTGATACCCTGACACAGCTGTCTCCAATATACACTATATTGTCAAAAGTATTGGGACACCCCTCCAACTCATTGGATTCAGATGTTCCATCACCTCCATGGCCACAGGTGTATAAAATCAAGCACCTAGGCATGCAGACTGCTTCTACAAACATTTGTGAAAGAATGGGTCGCACTCAGGAGCTCAGTGAATTCAAGCGTGGTACCGTGATAGGTTGCCACCTGTCCATCCGTGAAATTTCCTTGCTACTAAATATTCAACGGTCAACTGTTAGTGGTATTGTAACAAAGTGGAAGCAACTGGGAACAACAGCAACTCAGCCACAAAGTGGTAGGCCATGTAAAATGAGAGATCGGGATCAGCGCATGCTGAAGCGCACAGTGCGCAGAAGTCGCCAACTGTCTGCAGAGCCAATAGCTACAGACCTCCAAAATTTGTGTGGCCTTCAGATTGGCACAACAAAAGTGCATAGAGAGCTTCACGGAATGGGTTTCCATGGCCGAGCAGCTGCATCCAAACCTAACATCACCAAGTGCAATGCAAAGCGTCGGATGCAGTGGTGGAAAGCATGCCGCCACTGGACTCTAGAGGAGTGGAGACGTGTTCCCTGGAGTGACGAATCACGCTTCTCTGTCTGGCAATCTGATGGACGTGTCTGGGTTTGGTGGTTGCCAGGAGAACGGTACTTGCCTGACTGCATTGTGCCAAGTGTACAGTTTGGTGGAGGTGGGATTATGGTGTGGGGTTGTTTTTCAAGGGTTGGGCTTGGCCCCTTAGTTCCAGTGAAGGGAAATCTTAAGGCATCAGCATACCAAAACATTTTGGACAATTTCATGCTCCGAACTTTGTGGGAACAGTTTGGGTCGCTCTCAGGAGCTCAGTGAATTCAAGCGTGGTATCGTGATAGGTTGCCACCTGTGCAATAAGTCCAGCCGGAAATTTCCTTGCTACTAAATATTCCACGGTCAAGTGGAAGCAAAGTGGAAGCAACTGGGAACAACAGCAACTCAGCCACAAAGTGGTAGGCCACATAAAATGACAGAGCGGGGTCAGCCCCTTCCTGTTCCAACATGACTGCGCACCAGTGCACAAAGCAAGGTCCGTAAAGACATGGATGAGTGGGTTTGGGGTGGAGGAATTTCACTGGCATGTACCGAGTCCTGACCTCAACCCAACAGAACACCTTTGGGATGAATTAGAGCGGAGACTGCGAGCCAGGCCTTCTTGTCCAACAACAGTACCTGACCTCACAAATGCGATTCTGGAAGAATGGTCAAACACATAGACACACTCCTAAACCTTGTGGACAGCCTTCCCAGAAGAGTTGAAGCTGTTATAGCTGCAAAGGGTGGGCCAACTCAATATTGAACCCTACGGACTGGGATACCATTAAAGTTCAAGGCAGGCGTTCCAATACTTTTGGCAATATAGTGCATATTGTGTAGCCTGGCTCATATATTGCATAGAGGTTACAATTTTTAATAAAGGGGCAAAAGACCATTTGTTTTAGTAGTAGAGGAGCCTGAGGAGAGGAGTAGTACTAGTAGAGGAGCCTGCCAAGACACATGCATGTGGCAAAAGCTGGGGAAATTGGTGATGAGCTTCTATCCTGGGTCTCAACAATATATCTTGCTAAGTCATAGTAATCTCTGCTTTAGAGTTAACCAGTGCTTTGTACATGCAGGCCAAAGTAACAGTTTCATAGCCTGGTCACAAATAGGAGTTCCGATAATAATTGTTATTAAGTATTATCCTTTTGAACCTACATAATTAGGCGCATAAAAAATTATACTATACACACACCATATCAAATTAAATTTTAATTGCAATTAACAATATAAATATATGTTCTCTTTTTAAACCAGTTAATAATAACAGTAAATATAACAGTAAATATTTGTAAAATAATTGGCATTTCATAGTATCTTGTCTTGTATTTATTCATTTAATTGGCACAGTAGTGCTGATCCCTTTGATATCCAGTAGTCACTTGGTCTCTTTGATGGTAAAAGCACAGTCACCACAAAATTAGTGGAATGACCTGGCAAAAGAAAGCAAAAAATTATAAGAAATCAATTGTATTTATTGGAAACCCTATATAAATGTTTAAAAGGGCAATGTCACTATAATAGTACATTCTTTTGGTGTGGAAAGGCTTGGGCTTTGACACAGAGAGGAAAGTATGCAAACAAGGTTACATTAGTGTTAGGGTTACAGCTAGGGTCACAAGAAGGGTTAATGTTATGGCAAAGTTTACACAAAAAGTTAGTGTTATGGCAAGGGTTACAGGTTGGACTAGTGTTAAGGCAAGGGTTACAAAGTTAGGATGAAGGTGAGAGTTACAAGGAAAACTAGTGTGAGAGGGCTAGGGCATCACTCTTGTGTGCTGGAAGTAAACATCTGTAAATTGTCTAAAAAAAAATTACTTGTCCATCAGACATTCCATATTATCTGTTCACATACAGCCAAAATGGTCAAACCAGTCACATTAAAATGGTTTAAAGGTAATTTACCACGGCAAAAATATAGAGGAAAATGATACAAATTATGGAAATTATCTTAGTATCATAGCAATGTGAGTGAATATCTCAAGGTCAATCTGACTGGTTATTATGGACACACTTTCACAAGCTCATTAACTTAAAATGTAGTCAGTCTTAACTTTATGCCCATATCACAGTGTTCAGAAAATCATAGATTACGAAAATGGGCTGAAAAAAGATTATATAAATGGATGTAATATAAAAATGAGCATTTTTCTAAATATGTAGCCCTCTATTGCTTGCAGCCTTGATTTTAAGGAAGAGACCACAGCCTTGGGGCTTTCAGCATAATTCAGTATTATGATCTGCTTTAAATACTCTCAAAAATACATTTATATTAGATAACTGGGCACTGAGACTCTTGGTCAGATAGGGCTTTGTGATGATGGAACTTGGGGACAGCAAAAATTGTGTCACGTTAACTTGCAAAATGTCAGACGACATTGACCACCAAAGTATTTTGTAGACACATGAGCATTCCTCTAGCAAGGCTAAAGAAAAAAACATGTAGTAAAACTGAATATACTGATAACCCTTCTAGCCAATGTTTTGTTGTTTTACCTGTGGTGGATAGTGTCCCAGCTCGGGCTCCAGTCTTATAAAGTGGTGCTTGGTACAAACTGGAATTAGGCTGATAGTTTTGGCGTGGTTCAAAGTGTATTACAGGTAGCACTGGATTCATCTGTCTTGGCAATGCATCTTCAATTACCATGTCTTCATCATCCCAGCAACTAGCATCCATATACATCCCATGAACCAATATACCATCCTCAGGAGTGGGTAGCTGAAAAAGTGATAGTATGTGCATTTAATGTACACATATTAAAAGTGTTTTTACATACAGCACGGCTTGAAATGATCAGGCAAGGACTGAACCATTTAGGTTTTTCCCTATTTATAATGGTCAAGAGCCCATCTTATTGCCAAGGAATGAAACATCCTGTATTATACCTGTACATATTAATCAAGAGTGGTTTAATTCAATGAATGAAAGACTGATGCATTCCCTGGGACAGAGGCAATTCAGCAACTGATGTTTTCAGCCTTACTATCAGAGACATGATATACAGTAAAGAACCTATTCACACTTGTCTGTTTTCCTGCAGTAAAACACATGAAGAGAAATGTATTTTGAGACTGCTGTGCATTGCAACCTATCAGCTTCTAGCTTTCATTTTCAAAGCTTAACTGAAGAAGCTGAAGACAAAAGCTGATTGGTTACTATGCACAGCTGTTCCAGATTTTGTCTGATCCTGTTTTAGTGAACTCCCCACCGTAATCTCTATTGAATAAGAAAATGTAATTCAAGTAGAAATCCCATTCATTCCTACGTGCCAGGTTCAAGCCTAAGTGGTACAGTTTGGTTTGTCTTTAAAGGGAAGCTATTAGGGCCCATTAAACATACGTGTGCACTGCAATGTGCTTGTATAGGGGTGAATAGGCTGTAAAGGTTTGTGGATGTACATCTCTGTGAGAAAGGTTTCCAGTTGGTAACACAAGTATTCATAGTCAGAGCTGAAGTAACCAGCAACAAAAGGCAGTATGATATGCTTCTTTTACCTTCTATTCATCAGTTATAGTATATGCCTTCCTTTGAATCCTCCTGGATTCAAATAATTAATGCATGGCACCAGTCAACCATCATGCAGTCTGCAGTAAACGGTAACCAGATCAAACCGAACATTGATGCAGGGACAGTACCAGTCATACATTTGGTCTACCCTATATGTACAATACATACTCATTTGGAGACATTATTATGTAAAATCTAAAGATCGTTCTGCTTTGTGTCATCTTAACATATAATCTCTTCAATTATGCCCCAGCTCCAGCCACCTTCTGCTATAGCTCTAAATGCTTGGACCCTAGAATACAACTGTTTTTTGGCAGGAATTAATTTAGTATTATTGTCACAAGTGGTAATTATAATACAAACTGTTTCAATTTTCTACAGTTATACATTTAAGTTAATATCTTATTACACAATTATTTAAACATGTATAAGCCTGGACATATCAGGTATGCTAAACTACTATAAAAGCATTTAAAATGACCCAGGGTACTCAAGGACATGTCAATTGGAAGAGGGATTGATAGGCTGAAGTGGTTTTCATGTAATGGTCGTATAAGTCTTATCTCTGCTGTATTTTAGCTGCAACTCTTACAAGGTGGCTATTATATTTGTAAAACAACAAAATATTTTGAAACGTAGCTGCCAAGTGTTTGGATTCTGAGTATCACACCCATAAATATATGAATAAAAGAAGCAGAAGACCACCTGGGCACAAATAATCTGGGGCTATGTTATTATGGGGCTTTAAATTGATACTCATAAAAAAGATATACTGACAATGAAATACATAAAAATTATTAATTTTATTGATTTCCATGGTATTCCATTATCAGTATATCTTTTTTGTATACTTCCATGATAATGGAAATCAATACAATTACTTGGATTTCTTTCCATGGTAATGGAAATCAGTAAAATTAATATGTTTTATGTATTTCATTGTCAGTATGTCTTTTTTATGAGTATAAATTGAAAGCTCCATAATAACATAGAACTTGGATATTTGTACCCAGGTGGTCTTCTGCTTGTTTTATTGAAAAATAACAAGTCAACAATATTTCAGGTAAAATAGTTTACAATAATATCATAACCAACTCCTCTGTGGTGATCAAATATTTACCATGTGTAGATTTAACATGCTATGAAGCCATGGAATAAGGGTATGACATTTGAACCAGGGGTGACAGGAATGGGAAAGAAATTTGGAATTAGGGAATAAGGCAGGCAAATAAATCTACACAAATGGGGAATGTTGTATCTCAATTGGTTCATAATAACTCATCTTTCAAGCATCGGTTGTTTTATGTTAACATAAAAAACAGTTGATATAAATTTTCTGCTCCAACCAGTACATATTCTTGTTAATTTTAACATATTTTGGACTTTGAAACCTTAAAGACCAACTCCAGCTTTTTTTTAGGTTTGGAAAGGTTAAAACCTCTGGCACATTTGTATTGCTGTCTTTATTACTGTTGGGACATAAAGCCAATGCAACAGGAACAAAGGCAGAATTCTGCCAATGCAACAGGAACAAAGGCAGAATTAGCAGAGGAGTTAGAACATGTGAAGTAAACTGAAATCTCCCCAATTGGAAAACAATTAGCAACACAAAAAACTAACTAAAGATTCTAAGCTTTCTCTACCCCATAAAGTTGGACTTTAAATATTTTATTAAAATCTGTTCACAAAAAGAAATTTGGTGTTTCAATTATATGTTTTAATTACACAGCCAAAAGGTACTGGCTACAGTCTGATGGTGCCACTAAAAGGTCAACAACCTCATACAAAAATTTTCTTAAAGAAGAGCAATTCCTTCTGTTCACAGCAATCTAATCGCACCCCGGAACGCAGACGGGCCGTCTGACGGCGGGTGCGTTCCACCGTGGCACGCGGAAGTGCTTCGTCTCGTTGGGCGGCTCCTCCCCCCGCCTCTTAGCCCTATATAAACGCCCCAGTGAGACAGTATGGCGTTCCAATATTGAAGACTGAACGCCTGCTGTCTCCTGGGACCCCCCATACCATCCAATACTGCTACCTTCTACAGAGGACCTATAACGGACTCCACTTGGACACCCAGATCCTTCTGCTACTACATTGAAATCGCAAGTACCCTGGCATATTGCTCACCATTGAGTTAGACTAACTGTGTGTACAGAGAAGCTGGATTAACTTGCATGCTCTATCTAGTGGTCTTTTTGGAGAATACACCTTTACCTCTAAACCATAGCTGTTATCTATCCTACCCTTATTGACAACCTGAACCTTTACAATTTTTTGTTACTGTTACATGTGATTGGGGTTATGCAGTAATAATCCCATCCATCCTTTTACTTCTGTTTATTTTGGCTGTGATGCTTGAACCCTAACTCCCCGTTAAGATTGGGAGTGAAACCAGGGTTCCGTCTGATTGGCCTCCGCAGTTGTGATCCACAAAACCCCAACCTCACACCAGGTGTTACACAGCTTGACACCAGTGATCATTGGGGTTTGTTGCATCTACAACACCAAAGTTCCACATATTTTATTGCATTGTGAGGTCCACTGCACTGTTATGAGGGACAAGTGTAAGAAACCAACATTATACAAAGTATACATTATGGCCTATAAAAGGGGTGCCCACAATTTTTTGTTTTAAGATCTACTTTTCAAATGACGAGCTACATGAGATCTACCAACGAAAAAAAACCTCCCTCGCGCTCTCTCTCTATCCTGGCTGTCTCTCCTCGCTCTACTGGCTGTCTCTCCTTGCTCTCTCTCCTTGCTCATCCTCCTGGCTGTCTCTCCTCTCTCTCCTATCTGTCTTTCCTCGCTCTCTCTCCTGGCTGTCATTCCTTGTTTTCTCTCCAGGCTGTCTCTCATCACCCTCTTGGCTGTCTCTCATCAGCCTCTTGGCTGTCTCTCCTTGCTCTCTCCCTGGCTGTCTCTCCTCTCTCTCTCTTTTCTGTCTGTCTCTTCCCGCACTCTCTCCTGGCTCACCTTGCTATATTTTGCAAACAGTGCAGTGCAACAGGCTGTGTAAACTAATATTCCTAGATGTAATACATAGCACTTCAACCACCAGTATCCACCAGAAAGGTGTCAGGGAGCTTGGCTCAGCAGACTCAGGCTGATAGGTAATCATGTGTGCACAGCGAAATAAATATACCAAAATGGAATAAAGGGGCCACCATTCACACCCTTCCTGATCTACCAGCATCAGCTTTGAGAGCTACTGGTAGATCACGATCTACCTAATGGGTACCCCTGGTCTATAAGATCACAATGAATGAATTAAGTTTACAAATGTAACCAAAGCTTTCTTACATAAAGTAAGGTTTAGAACTTCTGTCAAGTTTTTGTTGCTGTCTGTGTGCCCCCTTGCGGAACTTCTGACTTAATTTCTGTTGGAAATGTAAAGACAACTGGAATGGGAACTCTTCACCTAGGTTCATAGACAGCTTAACAAAACCTTACAGAAGTTCTTACTCTTCCCCTTTAAATATAATACTAGATTTCCACTTTAAAAATGGAAGTCTAGTATTATGGTGCCCTCAGAGCATATAAATGAGCCAATGCATAACAAATACATTAGATGCATAATTTCATAATTATTACAAATGACCATAGTTTATATTGGGTTAATTTCTCTACTAAAGAGTCTTGTTAGTTCATTTAAATAAACAATAATTATTTATACCTGTTTATCCATTGGGAGCTCTTCTCCAAACTTGACGGTTTTTGTGGCCTCAATGACAGCTGCCTGGTCTCGATAATATGGGAGAACATTGTAATGGAAACTAAGTTCATCTATAGGCAAGTTATATTTTCGAGCATGGTTTTGAAGTGTTCCTAAAACACAGGAATGTCATTTAACATACACAGTTTTATATAACAAACAGAAAATGTAAATGTAATACAGTCAAACATTTTTAAAGTAAACCTGTATATTGCCCTTGCAGGGAAAACAAGTAGGTTCATTTAAGTTCCCCCCTCCACAGCAATACATGCCCACCTTATCTTTACTCCATGCCACTGGAAGCAAAACAAATACCCTGTACTTCCAGGTATGAGGGAGTAGATAACTCTCTCCTTCCTGCCATGTGACTGTGCTTGGGCTTGGTGATTGCCCAGTGCTGTCACATGGGGGCAGGGAGAGAGTCCTCAGCCAATAGTAAGCTCCCACTCAGGACATTTACACATGTAAGTATTAAGAGGACCAACCCTTAAATGTGATGGTTGTTGATTAAAAGCGGGCTGGGCAAGGTAGGGGTCCTTTCATGTGTAATCCTATGTGAACATTGCCACTAACATCTAAATCAAAACACCAAATGCCATCTGAATTAGTGAATAATACCGTGTTTCCCCGAAAATAAGACACTGTCTTATATTTTTTTGGGCTCAAAAAAACACACTAGGTCTTATTTTCGGGGTAGGTGTTATTTTTATTTTTTTTATGTACAACAATCCGCACTTATTCATGTACAAAATATAGGGATCAGGGCAATCAGGGGTGCCGTACCTTTCCAAGAGCAATTTGCTAACCAATCGCTGGCCAGAATGAGCGAAGCGCACTTTCACTATGGATTCCTCACAGGCGGAGTGCATTTGGTATCACTTCGCCTGTGACAGGAGCCGGCGCTATAGAGAAGGCATCGGCCTATGCGGCTCTGCTCCCTACGCTGCCACTTTGCTTCCTCTAGCGCTGGCTTCGTTGGCACCGCTGATCCTCTCCTGCCTCTCCCGCGGCTCTTCAAGTCCCCCCTTATGCCACCACTGGCCCTGGGAATGGACACAACTAGGTCTTATTTTCGGGGTAGGTTTTATATTTTAGCAATTCCCAAAAATAGTACTAGGTCTTATTTTTGGGGTAGGTCTTATTTTCGGGGAAACAGGGTAGTTGAGTCACATTACCTTACCTGTAAGAAAACCCTGAGGGAAAAAGAAACCTGAAATCCAGAAAGACTTAGGCTGACCCATGCGAATCCATGACTAGAAAAACAACATAATGTAGGTTATTATGTTTTGTACTTTCAAAGAGACTATTTTCCACGTGTAAATATACCATTTGATTTTGTATCAGTGAATATTTTAAGCCTACTTACATCTATAAATGCGGTCCTCAGTAGAAGGTCTTTGACCCAAGATCCCAGGGGTTTTAGTGAGGGATATGCAGCATCAGCCCACAATGTGGGAACATGATTGTTCAGGAAGCTCTTGTATATTCCCTCCATTTCCTCAGACATGACCACAAAGCCAGCAATAGCTTTATTGAGGGTCTCTAGAGAATTCTGTGGGAGAAATGAAACAAATTATACGTGGAATACCTGCATTATGCTTAGCAGAACATGAGTTTTGCTAATGTTAAAGTATGCAACAACGAAATGCAATATCCATTGGTGTATATATTGACAACAAAGTCTTATAGAAAATGTATAAGTCCCCGGTGGCCCCAGTCTCCATCTTAAAATTAGGCGCACTACTGTCATTATAAAATCATAACTAGCAATGCAGGATACAATATGCTTTTTCAGCAATCTTATATAGCTGCTTATACTAGTAATACAATAATGTCATCCCAAAGTAGTTTCCAAATGCAAACTGCTTTATGAAAATAGATGTTACCATGTCCTAAGCAGCTGGTAGGGACATAGAATGCTATGGCTGTACAGTAATTATGTCCTTGACACATCTGATTTTACAGGAAAGGAAGACAGAACTTGAGAGAACATTTAACATTAGGGTCAGTTCACCAAAATCAAAAGTTGTGATTTAGAAGTTAACTCCCTAACAACAATTCTTAACATATCTTGAGAAGATTATTGGTAAGATATCCGTATTTTCTGGGACTTCTTTAAGATTCTTTAAGATGTAAAATTCTTTAAAAATGTTTTCCTGCCACTTTAAGGAAATGGTGGCAATAATATTGTAAAACGAAGACTAGAACACAGAACAGTATGTTGAGCAATTGGAAAGTCTTATTTGCTATCCTGAATGAAAAACATTTTGAATCCGATTTACTGATAAATGTAATATGTATAGTATGTATTGCTATCTACTCCACTCTTCATTTCCTCCTCCCCAAGCTGAATACAGAGGTTGTCAAATATTCTTCAGGCAAAAACTGTGATTATTTTATGATTACAATTACATTGGACATGATCACTTAAAACCTAAAGTTTATTTTTTTCAATGTATATTTAAGTAAAGTGTCCAGGGACTTACTTACTCTAGTGTTCTGTCTAATTCAGCTCCAGTGATAGCACAAAGCTCTAAGCCCAGGCAGCATGCTGCAGAGAAGGACTGTACACTCAGTGAGGGTAGTGTTCTCTCTGTACCGGGCCATCATATCTCCTTGCTAAGACAGACTAACAGCTCTGCAACCATCATATCACATGTGTTCTGATGATTGCACAGCTCTCACTGAGAGAGAGGCATGTTGAACCACTGCAGAGAGACCACTGCTTCAGCACAGAGCACACAGTCCTTCTCTGCAGCATGCTGCCTGGGCTGAGAGTTTTGTGGTGCCACTGGAGCTGAATTAAACAAACAATAAAAGTGAGACCTGTACAGAACACTGTTTTCTTGCACACTTTACTTAATTATACACTAAAACATAAAACTTCAAGTAGACGTTAACACCTGAAAAAAAAAAATTTTTTCTGAACTGCAAGCAAACTTACTCTGAGTACTTTGAGAAGATTATTGAATCGATCTACTTCTTGCCCAAGTACGGTTGTCAATGAACTAACACGTCCTTTGGAGTCCTTAGTAAAGAGTGTTTCTGATGCAGCTTCCATGTCCAATTTTTCTGCAACACAAATTAAAGTTTATATCTTAATCCTACAAATGGCATTGTTCAGTAAATGTAAAAAAAATATAGCTGAGTGCTGCACACTAGATGAAGATTGTCGGAAAATGATGATACATTTACACAGAAAAATAATATACTGTCAAAACATCATTACTACTAAATGTCCAAAGCAGTGAGCCGTGTGCTGTCTAAAACATCTTACAAGGAGGCTGGCCTTTACTGTGACATTTTCAAAATTTCTATTATTGTCATTAGCACAATCAAGGGCTTATTTTTTGCAAATGTGCAATCTCTGCCTAGGTTTGGCAAATTGTTATAATTTCCTAGTTTCAGAACTGCAACCTTAAAACACATAAACATACATATCTGGCTGTACTGACTACCATTTTTTTTATATCGGATTCCCTGTAATCCTCAGATTATGGGTTCTTAGTAATACAAATTGATAATTGATGTGCTGCGCTTCAAATGAATAAGCAAAAGTGTCAATAAACATATAAATCAATAAATACTATGTAATGTACCAATATGTGTTATAAAACAACAGGACTAACAACCTTCAAATATGACATTAACACCATATTATTGCCACTGGTGATATGATACTAGACAATGTCCGCATGTTGGGGGTGATTTACTAACCTAAACACACGCACGCACCAGGTGCGTGTGATTTTCACACAGCAAAACGTATTTATCAACCAAAAAGTCTCTAAAAGCATATTTCCACTAATGTCATATATGGAAACATCATGCAAATGAGCATGATGCATATATAATGCTGCTTCACAGTTTAGACAAAAATGGTTAGCTCATGCATTTACATTTCTGCATTCATCAACGCAAGCAACACAACATAGAGCTAATTTACACAACATCATCTTGCAATTCATGCAAGGCTTTGCACAACACACCTGCTGGGTGTGTACACACTACAAAGGTGTTTAGATTCCACCCATAGATCAGGCTGGGAGGGAACACACTACAGAGGTGTATACATGTTCGTGGTGTGTTTATAAGGTTAGTAAATCAACCCCATAGTGTCCAACAGTATATTCCTGTGCTCCAATCGATTAAAACAATGTGCAAATAGCTAATCCACAGGTGCTTAGAATGTCCTAAGTGCACCACACTCTTATTTATCCACAGTTATGGTTCTTATAAAAAGTATGTGCGCACTTCCAGCTTCCACCCCAGTGTTCACCGCTTTTAGTGGGCATCACACCTTAATGTTAGACCTACAAATAGGTCTAACTTTGCATTGAGGATCTCCAACTACTCCAATCTCAAGGCAATCTTTTACCCAGAAGTATGCATCAGCATGTCATCACTTTAATTTTAATGAAAGCGTATAAACAGCCCATAGCGTAAAACTATTGAAGATTTTTTTTAAAACGTTCCTTTATTCAAATACTACTCGCACTTTAAAAGATGTAAATGAGCATCAGCACTCACGATGAGTCTGCAGGATGGCTACCTCTCCGTGTCTCGGCATCCTTTGACCCGGCTTCACATAGAGGGTACAGAGAGGTAGCTGTCCTGAGTATTTTAATAAAGGAATGTTTTTATCTTAAATGGCTTTACGCCATGGACTATATATATTGTTTTCCTTAAAATGGCTGATAACTTTATATTTTTCAAGCACTCTTAGTAGATAAATGTTGATGTGAACAATCTTAAAGGGGATTTATAGAAAATACTTCCATTGACCTCTTTCTGTAATAACAAGAAGGACTTCACTTAAACCACTGTTCACAAGGAACAACTCTTATCATTCTGATATATAGTAGTAGTATAGCGTAGTACATTTGATGATCCTGTCACATAAATGATGACATGCCTAATGTTGGTCACATACAGGCAGTTTGGAGAACTCCTTGTTTTCAGCTGTTGGAAAAATCGTATGGTCTGTTCAATTCTGACAAATTTAGAGATTTAGCACCCACACAGAATATCCTTGTTGCGAGGTGCACAATAGAATCAGAAATATAGAAACCACATACATGCATCAGTAATGCCTTATTACAAACCATATCCGCTTTTATATTAGAAGACATCTCAGCCATTCAGTATACAAGTGGATAAGCTAGGAACTGATATATATAGCGAGGCTGTAAGAAGGTTGCTTATAACAATGGCCCATTTGTGGACATGTTTGGGTTACACAGGCCTCAGAAGATACTCTTTCCCACTCTGAGAAAAAGTTATTGACTTGACTGGATATCTGGTGTCTAAAGTAGTTTCCATGGCAAATGCAATGTAACACTTGTGGGAGTCCATATGTGTTACATTATATGATTTTAATGCACATCATTTTGTGGGCTGTAACATTTGGAACACTTAAAAACACAGCTTAATTCAATCTTAACCAGATTTGTTTAAGACTTCTTTCTGTATTTATTACAAGTTTTTGAAGGGAATCTGTCAGATAGATGACCACCAGGCCTGCAGTGTTTGATAGATAGATAGATAGATAGATAGATAGATAGATAGATAGATAGATAGATAGATAGATAGATAGATAGATAGGTTTATATGCACACACACACAGTATGTTATGTGTTTATTGGCTGCTTGTAGAAGAAATTTTACCTGGTAGTTTCGAGAGGATGGAGGCAGCCAGTTCACTCACAATTTCATCATTGCTCTTTCCTGTCCCCCTTGCTGTAGACCTTGGCTGTACCTCCAGTATAGTTTTAATTAAGGTACTTGTCTCTTTGCGCTGCATAAAAATGTATAGTTAGTTATTTTAAATGATATTGCTTTAAACAAAAAAAAGTACTCCAAAGGGTGGGCCATAATAATAAGATATTTTGGTGAAACAACTCTCTTACTGCGAGCAATCCAGTGGGACAATGACCACTTGAATTAGCTAGAACTTTCCACAGTGTATGTCATAAAAGTTTTAGAGCACCTATGGCCCCTAATGGATGGCATGTATCTACTATTGCTACTATTGCAGCCAATCATAGCAATTTGTTCTATACTGGTCAATGATCTCTGCTGTAGTTCAGATCTATACATGTACAAAGGCCAAAAAAGGCAGGAGTTGAACAAATAACTGGTGAGTCATGACTTGACATTCAGGAGGACTATCTGGAAGGTTGACAAACCCAGGATTCAATTCTGCTTGCACAGCATTTTATAATGCAGTGACTGTGTCACAGCAATCTGTACTCATCTGCAACTGGTCAATGATCTCTGCAGTAGTTACAATCCATACATGAACAAAGTCAGCAGGTGTTGAACAAAAAAAAAATTTCACTCATGTGGTGATTTACCATTTAATGAGGAGAGATAATCCCTGACATTGACTAGGCCTATTTGAGAGGTTTGACAAACTTGAGTCTTAATTCTGGTAGCACAGCTTTTTATAATGTAGTAGATGTTGGAATTGAAGTGCCACGCCATTTAAAATAGTCCAGATACAACTTTATTCAATTACAGTCAGGAGACATTTATGTACAGTAGCCAATGGGTTTTTGGATTCCAAAACAGAGAGAAATCATGTATGTTGACTGCAGCATGAAAGTTGTATTATGTCAGCAGCTGGTATGGTAGCAATAATTATAATACAGTGACTGTGTTATTTGTTGAACACCTGTCTTGTTTGCCTTTTGTATACATATGAGTCTGAACTACTGCAGAGATCAATGATCAGATGAGTAGAAATTGCTATGATTGACTCTGTATATACACTCTGCATTAAGAGATAAATGACATCCATTAATGGCCATACGTGCTCTAGAACGTAATTGTGAGATACTGTGGGAAGGTATAGTGGATTCAAGTGATAATTGTTATCCTTATATACAGTTGGTTGATATATGAATGTCCAGCAAATATCCCACAGAACAGATTAATTATCTGTGATCATTTTAACAAATTGCCTGGCTGTTGCCACTCGCATAATTCTACTTTTGATTAATTCTCGATCATATCTATCAGTATCTCACGTATTGAGAGTAGTATACTGATGTCCGATCAGCTGACTGAAATTTATACTTGTGTATATAAATTCAGAGTTTAAATCTGTACATGTCTGCTGCACTGGAATTTTGCTGGGCATAATGACAGTTGATCATTGTGCTTCATTGATTTTTATATAGCAGAACTCTAATGGATTGAGTATATTTTATAAAACACAACAAAAAAAGAAATATGTACCCAAGCATTGATTTTTGATCTAAGAATTATAAATTGCATTTTCTCCATCTGGGAAGAACAGCTTTGAGGAAAGCAGCGATTCAAGATTCGTATTCCATCAGGTCTTCTGTTTATCCTAAGCAGTGGAAGACTACAATAGATGTAGACTTAAAGAAGAAGTATGAGGAGGATGAAAAACACTCATCCTCATAATTCAAGCCAGCCTGTGACACTATAGCGGTCACAGGTTGGTTCTATTGATCGGGAAGTCAGCGAACACATACCGCTGATCACTGACTTCCCGATCCTCTCCACGAGAACGGTTACTGACAGCAGGGATTGCCCCCCTCCTCTCTATTTTCCTCAGTGTTGACTGGAGGAACGGACAGAGGAGGGGGCGGGCACAGGTGGCTCTGCCTTTAGAGAGGCAGAGCCACCTGTAAATCAGCCACTGGAGTGGATCTCAACAGAATTGTCGGGATCCATCCTGGCTTCAGCGTGGCTCTGCGTTCTCAGCATATAGTGGGCATAGCCCGCTATATACTGAGTTTTGGGTCACCGGAGGACATTAGTATATGTCCTCCGGTGACCCTAAAGAGAACTATGGCCAGAAAATGTTGGCTCCTAATTCTCTTTTAATGTCATATCAGGAATAGGGAAATACAACAAAGTCAAGTTATTTGTTAACCAATGTCAGGGTTAGTTTATCATCTCGATAGTGGTATAGTTAAATGGGTGACGGGTGTTTTTATTATTAATTTTATTATTTGTCCAAAATTGAGTTTTTTTCTTTCTTTTGTTGTTTTCATAGGTTATATATGCACAGACTAAGACTATTACTTTGGGTCTAAAAGTCACAGTTTATATAATTGTTTTTGACCTAACAATAACTTAACCACTGAATTAGCATGCCAGGCAATTAGCAGTCTCAGAAGGAGCAGTTTTAGTCTACAGCAGCCATCACTAAATGAAGGACCGAGCCATAACCCAGTGTAGGCCCTCCCTCCCCTTTAGTCATTGGTTGCCAGGACTGCTAGCTTCCTAGCAATCAATGATGTCAGGCAGGGCCGGTGCTACAACGTAAAGTGATCTGGGCAGCTGTACAGTCACTCAGATCACTTGTACAAGTTTGCAAATGTGAAATATTGTCAAAATATTATTTTGTAAATAAAGAAAAAGTACAGAGCTTGTTACTGCTTCTGCTATAAGTTTGTGTTCCCACTGCAGGATGCACCTGATGAGACTGCACTAGAGTAAGGGTTAAAATTAGGGTTAGGATTTAGGGAGCTTAGTTTTAGGGTTGATGCTTTTTGTTAAGGGTTCATTTTAAGTCTGGGAAAGGTAGGAAATAACTGTAAAGGGTTCATTTTAAAGTAACGTTAAGATTTTAGTTGAGGGCGGGGTTAAGTGTTAGCGGAAGCTTAAGGGTCAGATTAAGGTTAGGGGACAGAGCATTTGTGAGAATAGCCAAACATTAGTGCTCAGTTCTCAGCACCTAAAACCAGCATATTGTATTGAGAGAATATCTGAAAGGGACCTTCACAGATGTATTGAGAGAACTACTTTCACCCAGGTAGTGTCTATGTTAATTGACTGTGAAGGTTTTTTTCTAATGTAACCTTTATAAATATAGGATTAACTGATAAACTTTAAAGATCAGTTAAAATTACATGTGCAGCCAAGTATAACTAAAGGCAATTTCTTTTTTTTTTTTTTAACATTTAGTGGTGAGAGGTTAGAACCACTGTTAGGTGTTTATTACTGTGTGTCCTCTTTAGAGAGATCCATCCTCTCTAATTGTCCTGATCACCAATGTCACCAGAAATGAAAGTGAGGGTAAATTCAATATTTTGAGTTGCCACCAGAACAGAAATAGGCAGGAAATATTCCAGCTGGGACACTTGCTCCTAGTTCCCGTCACATTCGTGGAAGAGTGTTTTTCATTCACATTGGACAGATATTCTGACACTCCCTGTTACATTTACAGGACATTTCCCTAATGTGACACCGATCACAAAAAAAAGTCATAGTGCTTTAAACTCTTCACTACTTTATCAAAAATGAAAAAGGTTTTGGCTTTAGATATAATTTAAAGTGATATTTAAAAATGACAGCTTTTTGAAATGCTGAGTAAATCAATTGCAATAGCTGCTGCTCCTTGATGTGTAAAGGTTTTATCTTTCTGCAGAATCAGCTGGTCCCCTGAGCACTGGCCCTGATATCCTGTTTGAGGGTGGCTCCTTTCCCTTGCAGTGCCTCCTTGTGTGTACTAGTAAGCTGTGCCTCCACAAACACACAGACACAGCAAAGCAATCCCGACCCCTGCTCCTGGCTCCCTTCTTCAAGCTAGCAGATGGACTCCTGAGCACTGGTGTGTTCCTAGTGATCTTGTACAAAACAGGAAGTTCAGGTAAGCTGAGCTGTGAGATTTGGAACCAACTGTTTAGATCATGATTACTGAAAGTGCTTGGGCAAAAATAAAAAATAAATGCTTTGTTGGGCAATGTATATCTGTTTGCTCTGGATTTATTATTGGAAAACGTATTCAATATGTTAATGGTAATTGAAGTCTATTATATCCTACATGCTATCTTGAGAAAATGTGCCCTTTCAAAAAAGAATATACCTAGTTCTTTATTAAAGGAACCCAAATTCTACACAGGCCTTTGTTTAAATGTTATTCATTGCCATGGCTGGGATTGCTGCGAAAAGCCTATGTACAGCTTGCCATTTGATGGTTTAAAAAGAAGTCTTATTATTGGAAGATTGACATACAAAGGCAACTACTGCCTATTATCTTTGCTTAACAGACTATTATGATTAAATCATCATTTTCCTTTCAGCTTTAGTGCAATCCATGCTTCACACAATTAAATTAGACCAAATACCCATAAGCACACAAACCTGGAAAGCTAAATTGGCATTTTCATGCATTCCAAATATTTCTGGATCATCGGTCAAGGGCAGATTTTCTATGTACTCCTTATACAACTGCAGACTGTCAGCATCTGGGCTGAAATATATACCTAAAGTGTGTTTAAAAATACAGCTCATTAGTTTTTTGCTCGTTTCATTCTAAATAGGAAAAAACATGTAAAGAAAATGAGTTTGTATTAAAGCACCCTTGCTTATTGAAATGAACACAGCCCGAGAAAAGGGAGATTTCTAGACAGAGACAATTAAGAATAATACTGTCCATCACACGATTATCACTGAAATATTTTTGAACTAAAAGCATGTAGCTGTTGTTAAACTCTCAACATTTTTATTTAATCCATAATTCATGGGGCGAAGAATTAAAATATTGTTATTATTCTGGACCTCAATCAAGGACTACTTTGCATTATCAAATGTCATCCTGTACTACTCTGCTGTAAATCTACAAATTTAATGCATTTACTTGACCAGTATGAATAATGCATTTTCGGGAACTAGTTATTTCATTGTGCGGAAGAAGGCATTTACTTATGTGCACTATTCAAGTCGCTTGAAGTTTGTAACTCTTCAGGTGTTAAATAATTTATTGTACTATGTAACGCGTGTTATTACCATTTGTGAAAAAGAAAACTTGGTTTTATATAGTCATTTAAGAAAAAAAGTGTTATCAAGTCTTCCTTTGCCAGCTTTCTCACTCAGAACATGAACCAGGACCTCCTCATTATTAAATATACCTACCGTGTTTCCCCGAAAGTAAGACCTACCCCGAAAGTAAGACCTAGTGCTATTTTCAGGGATTTCTGTAATATAAGACCTCCCCCGCAAATAAGACCTAGTTCGGTGGTAGGTCTTGTATTACAAAAATCCCTGAAGATAGCGCTAGGTCTTACTTTCGGGGTAGCTGCACATAATAGAATTTTACATGTGAAGACCGGCCACAGCTGCCTCCGGGGAAACACGATATTGCGCAATATAATGATCCTGTGACCTAGGGCAACATATAACATAGCAAAAGATTTTGCTCTTCTGCCCAAATACTGACAGGAACAATGGAAATTAGACTAGAGCTGCAGCTAGCGATTATTTTCAAAATCGATTAGTTAGCCGATTATTAAGTTCGATTAATCGGATAAACAATAAAATAAAGTTTAAAAAATGGCTCCAGTGATAGAACTACTAGTTTGTATTGAGAATAAGAATGTATTCAGGTACATTTCTATCCTAAATGACATAAAAACTAAATTAAGAAATCAGCCAAAACTTTTTTTACGTTTTGGATAGAGTAGGAAAGGTTAAAATCTCTGTTAGATTGTTATTGCTGTCATTAAGGAGATTTCTTGTCTGCTTGTCCCAAAGAAGGGTTGAGTTGCATTCTTCTCAAAATGCTCCCTTTGCCAGTTGTCACCAGAATAGAAATAGCTATAGAAAAGTATCTCTTTTTCTGGTGACAACTGTGTAAAATTCTAGACTCCCTCTAATTTTCTGTCTTTCACACGTGTGTTAAAATCAGGCATTGGAGAAACATTTTTAAAGCCTCTCTGCCAACTATTAACACTCATGTGGGATAATGCAATAGCAACCGCCCAGTGCAGTTCACACATCGGCATCAGCGTTGTGTTGCTGTGTGTTAAAAAATAGAGTGCATGTCGCGATCTGGAGGGACTGCCGCTGGACAAATGCCTCCATTGAAGTATATTGAAACGCCCCTTAAATGCTCGGTCAGTGCTCCTATAACATTTTTCGGGCATTTAGGAAGCATTGCACAGGTGTTTTAGGAGAGGCATAGGAGGTTTTGCAATCCCAGAAACCTCTGGGGAATCATAGAGGGAGTGGACATAGAAGGTGCAGATGCCACTTCCTGTCTGTACACAGCCAGCATTTTGCCAGCAAGAGGACAGCTTCTAGCCAGGTACTTGGAAACCTGTGACAGCCTGACCTGTGCCACCTGTAGTGCCAGCTGTTATCTATATTATATGAATCTATATTAATGCAGCAATGCACAGCATAGAAAACCAACAATCCGCCTGCAAATTTAACCACAGCCTAAGCACACCTCAAAGCTGGTCACTTCTCTTTATTACATTACTTCTCCTTTAACACACATTTCACAAGCGTTTTTGCCTCCTTAATGCCTTGAAAATGCCCGTCCAATGCCTTGTTAACACTATAGGCATGTTAATAAGTGTTGCTCCTTCATTAAATTCTCAACGCACATGTGAAAGAACCCTAAGTGAGTGAATGGTCTAGAGCAGGGGTAGGCGAACTCCGGCCTCCCAGGTGTGGTGCAACTACAAATCCCATGAGGCATTGTAAGACTCTAACAGCCACAGCCCAGAAGCAGATGCACTATGGGATTTGTAGTTTCACCACAGCTGGAGGCCTAGAGTCTGCCCAGCCCTGGTCTAGTGGCTTGATCTACCCAATAGTGAGACATACAGCAATAACAATCTTACTTCTAACCTTTCCCCAATCCAAAAAAACTAAAAAAAAAAGTATTGGCTGGAGTTCCACATGTATTAAAACCAGAGCAAGCCAGTCAATAAGCTTTTATACCGGTGTGGTATTTTCCATTTTTTTTACAGGTTTCCTTTAGTGGTCAAGAGCTTTAAGATGGAATTGCATACTTAAAAAGTTATGGTACAAAGGGCTGTCATTCTTCTGTAATTAAATTAATGCTACATTAGGTTAAGACAAGTTTGGCCAAATAGATCTATAGATAGACAGATGATAGATAGATAGATAGATAGATAGATAGATAGATAGATAGATAGATAGATAGATAGATGTTTTACCTGAACCAGAATAACAGTATTTATCTTCAAGGGTCTCGGGAGAAAAGAATCTCCTTAAGATTGTTCTTAAACATCTTTGGTCCCATGCATCAGTTACTCGTCCTCCATATGTTATCTCCCCTGGAAAATAGTATCATGCTTCAGTTTCACTGCCATATGTTTTTTACAGTAACGTCTTACAGCTCAACAGATTCATGTCACACTTATGCCCAAAGGTCATATGCGGTGCAGAGTAGTGGCAGAGAGAGGCACATAGGCACCAAGAATAATTAGCATCTTTCGTACAAAAAGACAACAGCTCTGCAGGTGGCAAAGATAACATATCTCAGCTGTCTTCCCAAAACTGCCTTACTTGAACTGAATTAAAAATAAAATATCTATTTCTTCATATTCTTAAGTAAATAGTCCAAAAAACAGCAATGTTACTTGGAAAAACTAGTAAATCTACATGGGACTTAAAATTGTGATCCACCTGAATGTGTATTAATTACTAGTGTTACTTATTATTATTTATTGCTTTTGCAGCCACTTTAATCATACTGTATGTCATCTGATTACCTTTAATTTTTGTGAGACTTTAGATATATAGTTACATATATAGTTGTTTGCAGTCTTTGCTACTTTGTATGCCACTGACACTATGGGGCTGATTTACTAAAGGCATAGAGGCTGTTCACTGCAAGAAAATTTTCACTCTGCAAGGACATTTTCCCTTAGCTTTATGGATGAGGTGAAGCTCTGCTACTTCCAACATCCAGTCATGTGCAAGCAAAAATACAAGCAAAGTTTTTTTAACATTTCCTAGCACAAGATTGGGTATTGGGCATTCATTAAGTATTACAAAGTGAATTTTCAACACATTCACTAAGCTAAAGGAAAATGACCCTGCAAAGTGTACAGCCTATTAGCCATTAGTAAATCAACCACCAGGTTGTTATGTTCTATTAGGCAGGAAAATCATAGCCATTGGTCTGAAATGAGAAAAGCCTGGACACCAGTACACATGAATGTGCTGTATGTTGAGGTATGTTGAGGCTTCCCTAGATAAACTTCTTCATACACCTCAACCATGTATAGAGGCCCCTAGCACATGTATGTTAATGATATCTTCAGATGTCCAGCTAGATTAACCTCCTTCTGGCTGGCCGTTCTAAAAAAACGGTCGGCCAGGAGCTTCCTGGATGTAACAGGGCATCAAAAGACTCCTGTTAGCCCTGCCCACTCACACTCCTATAGAGCCCGGGGACCGCTTGTATGGGGTGCCGATCAGAACGCGCCCCCCCCTCCGAGGCCCCCCTCCCGCTGGTCCCGGGCTCCGCTGTGCCCTGGTGCGGGCCCAGGCCCAGCATGGTGGCTCTCTGACAGGGGATCAGAGGGAGATCGGTACACGATCTCCCTCCGGTCCCCTCTCCGCTGTCAGAATGTGGAAGTGATGCAAATTATATCACTTCCGCATTCTTGTGTCACTCTCCAGTTTCAGAAGCTGGAGGGAAGCTGATGAAGCAGATCTCTGCTTCATCAGCTTCTTTGGGTGTCCCTAGGTGACATTAGGAGTCTTGGAGACCCCTGATGTCTCCATAAAGAGGACCTGTCACATCTCTTTGCTATCACATAGGGGGGTTTCTTAGCCCCCTATGTAATAACAATAAAGTTAAGTGAAAAAAAATAGGAAAAAAAATTAAAGTTGCAAAAAAAACCAAAAAGTCATGAAAAAGAATTAAAAAAACAATTTTTTTTTAAAAAGTCCCCACCCATACATACATGCATGCAAACATGTGTCGGGTGTGCATACATGCGAAAACAACGATTGCACCCATTATGCCGCACATGTTGCATATCGCCGCGAACGTCGCAGTGAGAGCAATAATTCTAGGGCCATCAATCACTGATAACAATAAACTGATGAGCGGTAAAAGCTTTTGAAGCGTCGCCTATGGTCAATTTTGGGTATGGTAGTTTATCGCGATTTCGGTGCGTACAATTTTAAAGCTTGACATGTTTGGTGTCTATTTACCCGACGTGACCCCATCTTTTATATTTTACCAAAAAAATGGGTAATAATACATGTTTTATAACATAATGTAAAAATTCAGTAATTTTTCCTTAATATAGTAAAAATAAACCTCCCAGTGGTGAATAAATACCACCAAAAGAAAGCTCTATCTGTCCCCAAAAAATGGTATAAAATGAATTTCAGTACAGCGTTGCAGAATAAATGTCAGTCAAAGAACCGCAGCGCTGAATACTGAAAAATGGCCTGGTCTTCAAGTGGTTAAAGCAGAAATGAAAGTCTCTTAAGCATAGTGTTAAGAAGCAGCCTACAGTAAGGATTTAAGAAGGGTTTCGCAGGATAGTAGTTTGCCTTTATTGCACAATTTCTAGTATACAATTTGCACCTATGAAATTAGGGATGTCCAGATACCAGTTCAGATAACAGTGCAGATACTTGGCATTTTCACGAAAACTACCAGGGTTGCATCGGTTGCAGCTGGGACCTGGCTCTGGCACTCCACCACTGTCCTGAAATCATTAGTCTGTATTGTTTTAGAAAAACTGTCACATGCCAATAAACAAAAATGGATCAGTACTTGTATCTTTTAGTACTTAAACAAGTATCAGAACTTGTACTTGAAAAAATTGTATTAATATTTATAAAAACAAAATCATACAATAAAACAGAGATGCACAAATCCCAGGAGCCCCGTATGCCTCCTAACTTTTGAGGTTTTTCTCTAGTCTAGCCTTGGAGCTCGAAAAGTATCGGTACATGTACTTGTACCGAGTACGGAACTTGGTATCTGAACATCCCTATATGAAATAAATGTGTAAATGTGTTTTTTTTCCTGCAATTGTTAAACATATTTAGAATGATCAACAAAAACCTGCACAAAATTTCCCCCAATGCCTGTTTAAAGTTGGGTAATGTATTTTGACCCCTGATCATGAAGCGAAAGCACTTACCTGTTATATAAGTAAGTGCGTGCCATGGTATTTTTCCTTCCTGACAGTACAGGTTTAAATTAAGCAGTGCACATTCTCTGTCACTGTCAGTAAATTCATAGCAGATGTTCCAGCCAAGTGGTCCAAACTTCTTCCTTTCCTACAACAAAATCATTAGATATTGTTTGTAAAAAAATAATATTCTGCATTAAGAATTTTTTGACGAACTAAACGGATTGTCTTTTTGTTTATCCTCTTTAGTATGTAGTCAACCAATAGCTCCTGAGATAAATATAGGTTCTTAACTACCATAGAGTCTTATAAAGGGCAAGAGATGAACTGCCATACCTTGAAGTTAAAATTTAAGCCAACAGACCAGTGTAGGGTGCAAATTACACTTGCCTCCAAGGTCCTAAATGGTTTATCTGGAGTTTCAAAGTCCCAGTAAAGCAGCGCTTCCAAAAACGGCATCCTGCTCCTCAATATCTTTGTTTTATGTTTTCAGCCAACAGAAATTTATCTGGAAGGGTCTAACATCCTAATATATGAGTAACCTATCAGAACAGAGCCTAAGAGGCCACTGCCACTGTTAAGCTCTCATTAAGGAAATGCTAGCTGTCTGGTTGTTATGCTGACCCTCTTGGTTTAATACTTTGAGATACTGACCCTGATCAGGTATGCAGATAGTATGCAGAAAGGTCTTCTGACTTTCCTGATCTGCATAAGTGTTCCAGGTCAGTGAGTGATAAAATATTGAAGCCAGTGGCGCAGCATAAAGGCCAGGCAACTATTGTTTTGAAAAGGAGATCATCAGTAGCAGTCCCCACATTTCTCTCTTGACAGGTTTACACCGCAGTAGGCAATTGACTGAAACACTCAAACTGTGAAGCTGTGGGTCAGTGCAGGGACAGATGTAATAGAGATGTCATTTAAAGGAAAACTTCAGGTATAGAATATGGAGGCTGTCATTGCTGATCTTTCCTTCTAAAAAAAGGTTAGTTGTCTGGCTGACAGGCTCTTAGTACTTTCTAAGGCACTGACCTGGAACAAGTATGTAGGCCCACTATAACTATTTAATCTGTGTGATTATGTCAGCTCACTACCTTAAAGTGGACCTTTACCCCCTTTGGCAAAAGATCACATCAGCATGCAGCTCAGCATGCTGATATGAAATCATCTTATATTCATTAGTTAAAGAAACATATTTTAATTTTACTTGTTTTCTTTTTCCTCATTCTTTTTGGCATAAATTATGTAATGGAGCCCGAGTGTTGCATCCTGAGAATGTTACATCAGCAGAGCAATGCTGGAAAATCTCATCTGTAATCTCATGAGATCTCAGAGAAAGGCATTTTCCTCCCCTGAGATGATGTGCATGGTCACATATCCTAGTCACACGTGCCAGAGTTCCAGGAAGTGAGGTGGATTAATCTGCCCTTAGTAAAAATGGCGAATGTGAGAAGAATGGGAGGAAAAGAAAAACAAAATATGCAAAGAAAAAAAGGCCTGCAATTATCTAGAAGTATGTGTTTGTAGATTGTCATTACTAAACATTTCCAAAGGTGCGTTTGTTGTTATTTTGAAGATATGGATAAAGTTCCTCTTTAAAGTATTGCTTGTTCCATATCAGTTTGTTCAAGTGTTGAAACCAGGTCAGTCAAAAGCCAGTCTAATAGTATTCCTAGGAGGTAGGTAATAGTAGCCCTCAAGTTCCTTGGTCTAAAGGTTTCCTTTAAGTTTAGGTTGAATGCCAAGAATTTTCTCCGTGCAAGGAACTTAAATGTTAACATTAAGAATTAAGTTATAGGACCACCACAGTGCTTAGCAATAATAATGAACAAGTGATTGCTAACACATCTCCTTAGCTGTAATTATGTGTATATTCAAAGTCATGCCATACTGTCTACTTGACCTTTACTGTAATCATGACTTCAAATTGTTGGTATTCTAAAAGAGTACTGGCTTCATTCATGAAAATTCTACCCAAGCTGTGCTTTCAACGTATCCAGCTGAGCCTTGATGTTGTCATGTCACAAAGATGCCAATTTCAAGGCAAACTTAAACAAATACAGGGAAAATCATTTCCACCTACTGGAATACAGTTGCTCCTACACACTGATATCCCATAAGCACAATGAAATGCCACATGCATCAAAAGAGTAAGATAATAGCCTTAACCCTTTGTAAAATTGTTTATACATTGTTTATAACCGCTCTCCAATGTGAGGTAAAAACCATCTTGAACAGCTGTCACTGAAACTGGTGTACCCACTAGAAGATTTCCACTCATCTTATAAAATAATAATAATAATAATAAAAAATCTTAATAATATACTAACTTTTGGATTACCCAACACTTGTAATGGAGACAATAGTCCCCATGACAGTCCTAGTGTGGTAATCCCTCTAGCTGGGACAGAGTGTCTTATCCTTCCATTCTCCATCCAAAACTAAAAAAAGGTTTTAGGTTTATATACAGTATAAGGCAACTTTTTGATTCAGGCATGCATGATTTAGATAAGAGCATTACATTTTCACATAGCTTACAGATTGCAGTTTCTTCAAGAACTGTAATGAGTTTTTCCTTACATTTACTACTTCAATACACTGAGAGTGTATTGAAGTAGTAAATGTGTATTGAAGCAGTATACACTGTCAAGTGTGAATGAGCCCTTAGGACATAAGTGAGTTGTTACATCTGAAATACATTAAGCTGTACTAAAAATGTTAGATCCTGTTTTTCAGATCATCTAATTAAATTTAGCCACACTCAATGTTTTTTAAAAATCAAATCTAATCTACGACCTCAATCTTTCCAGGAGAGGTGTGCATAAAATATTTTAAAAAAGTGTCATCATGTGGACTGCAGTGCAGGAAATAGGATATATAGCCAAAGATACTGTATGTATGACATGCATTGAAAAACCACATAACAGCAGTGTATCAAAATCAATAAATTCCCCTGCTGTTCACAGTACACATGTCTCTAGTGATTCACTATGCTCCATGGTCTAATAAAAATAATAATAACAGTACTGAGTGTAACAATTCCATTATTGACATTTTGACTTTAAGTAAAATACAGAAACAGCACTGAAGTTATGTGCGGCCATAGTACACTACTTGAAGTCTTTAACCTTTAGCTTAAATTCATGCTAACAATTTCCAATACATGTTCCAGTAGATTAGTCGGTAGAAAAAGAAAGTCACCTGAATGATGGCGTGGAAAAAGCAAATTCCAAAAATAACTTTTCTCCATTTTCTGCCAAGCAGATGCTCCTCGAAGAATGTGGGAGTAATTTCCGTAAAGGCCCGACGGATATTAGCACGGAGACCTTTTGGAGGCTCATTAGTAACCTGCAACAGAAAGCCGTTTGCAGAAAATGTAATGACCTCTTTGTTGAACATTGCATTTTAACATCTCATTGTCTTCTTGTCGGTGTCAATTACCTGGTTTCTATGCTGCCGGGAACAGAGGATGTTGTGCTGGCTGTGACAAACATTTCTAACTGATGTTTCTTAATTTCAAACCAGTAATGTGGGGGTTTTTTTTTTTACAATATTGAGTGCAGAAAAAATCTTTCTTAACTTGGAAATATTGGGCATAACCTAATATACATACAGTATATACAAATATACAATGGCTAGTGGTTAGCACTTCTACCTTGCACTGGGGCCCCCGGTTCAAATCCGGGTCAGGACACTATCAGCATGGAGTTTGCATGGGTCCCCCCCCCCCACACTTTACAGGCATGCTGGTAGGTTAATTGTCTCTTATCTAAATCGTTACTATGAATGTATAAATGTGAGATAGAACCTTACATTGTAAGTTCCTTGAGGGCAGGAACTGATGTGCATGCGCACTGTATGTGAATTATCAGGGCTACACAAATCTATCATAATAATACTGATAAATAGACTAACTGCATACTCCCATAGAGCCCAACCATGTGTCAATACTCATTTTATAAACTGCACTAGAAAAATGACAGCTTAATTTTTTTAATTGGCAACGCTTGTGTTGTTCGTCTACAATTTATGTCTATACATTTGTTTCCTTAAAGCCTCCAGGGGGAAAAAAATCCCCTTGCAGCAGGGGCTACCTCTGCAAGGGTTAACAGCTCGCTAATACCTAGGGAACATGTGTAAAGGATTTTTACTTACCTGATTCCCGCAGGCTCCAAGACTGGCACCTGCAGCCTCTTTTCCCTGCACTACGGTTCTCAGAAGCCTGTTGACGACATCATGCACAATGCAGGGCCCACAGCTGTGCATTAGACAAGAGGATGCTGAGGGATAGTTCACAAGCCAAAATGTAGGGGAGAGAGGTGAGCACCGACTGCCGGGGGAGCAGGAATCAGGTAAGTAAAAGTCCCCAGTATACAAGCCCCCTAGACAATAACGAGCAGTTAACCTTTGCAATGTGGGGGTAGCCTAGGGTTGCCACCTGTCCAGGATTGACCCGGACATTTCGGGTTTTGAATGCTGTGTCCGGGTTTCATGGCAGCAGAAACCCGGAAAAAAGAGGTCATTCAGACATGGGCAACCAAAATTAAGATAGAGGCTACTGTACCCCCACCAAAAATAAAACTTAACTGTGATATTTACATTTGAATGGGTGACGCTATTTACATACAAATAAGCTGCGGCTCATTCACCCAAAAAAATGTCAGTGCGCTGCTATAGTGTTCGGGTTTCACTAGAAGGAAAGGTGGCAACCCTAGGGTAGCCCCACTGTAAGGGGAGTTTTTTTTTTCCGGAGATAAGCTTTGAGCTCTGCCATTATGGACAACTGCAGTTGCATAAACACAAGTGCATTTATGAAAGCTAGACTCTGACTGAACAAATGCGCATCAATTTTCTTGGGGAAGTGTATGTAGTAGGGATATGTGGTGTGCTCTGCAGTGTCTCAGGGGGGCTTTGCATAATCTGTGGTGGGCTCTGTGGAGTCTATGGTGGGCTCCGCAGGGTCTCAGGGGGGTGTGCAGGGTCTCACGGGGGCTTTGCAGGATCTGTGGTGGGCTCTGCTTCACAGCCACCATAGACCCCGCAGAGCCCACCATAGTCCCTGTTGAGCCCACCACATATCCTGCAAAGCTTGCCACAGATCCTGCAGAGCCCACCATAGTCCCCGTTGAGCCCACCACATATCCTGCAAAGCTTGCCACAGATCCTGCAGAGCCCACCATAGGCCCTGCAAAGCCCACCACAGATCCTGCATATCCCACTTGAGACCCTGCGGAGTCAACCTGAGACCCCAGCTTTCCTGCTACGCTAATAGCGGAACATGTGAAAAGCTGGATACAGCGTGTGACAGGTTACGCAAAAGTCTAAAACAGGAAGGGGTGGGGCAAATTTACTGGAGGGGGGGTGCCTGAGCTTTGTCTTGCCTAGGGCAGCCCCAAACCAAAATACACCACTGGGTAGGGATCACTAGATGGAACCACAGTGGCCAGTGTAGGACATGCTCTTCTACATACCCAGAACTGTTGAATAGGGTTGGTGCCAGGAGTTCTGCAAGTGAAGTTTTAGCAAATGAGCCAACAGTTAGGTATGAATAATACCATTTTATTGACACGTTACTGCCTTTTTATTTAATTGACCCCCCTGACAGGGTCACTTTAAAGGAAACTTGTCATGAGGGAAAATGGAAGCTGCGGTTGTTCAGAAATATTGAAGTCAATGGGTCACTAACATTTTTAGAAGTAGGCCAGCAATGGCTACCTCCATATTTCCCTCATGACAATCTCAAAGAACAGTAATGCATGGGTCAAGCACAAACTAATGATTTGTGGTTTGCAATATAAGGAAACAATCCACAGTATTTAGATTCTATGCAAATCCATCACACTAAGGTTTAGAATGAAAATTTTTGTTATGAGCTCTGATAAAATCTTGCCCTGAAAGAATTTTTCCAGGCTGCAGAAATCTGTCTGCATACACAGATGTGACATAAACTGAACATTACAATGCATCTTCTATTTGGTGAAATTACACTACATAAAATAATGCATTAAAACCTTTTTAAAAATAGAGATGCTAAATTTAAAAAAGTCTGATTCCAAAGAAATATATAAGTAAAATATATATTTTCATGTTCATTTAAACAGGAACTGAACTCTGGAAGCTGTGCCCAAAAATGGCAGGTAGAGGGTAAATGACTTGTCACCAGTATTACCCGTGGAGTCCAGAAACGTCACCAGCACACCATTTAAACGTGAAACAAATCCATTTAATGACACACTTGTCATTCAATTACAAACGTTTTCGGGGCCTCATAGGGTCCCCTTCATCAGGCTCAGAATGACGTAATTCTGAGCCTGATGAAGGTGACCATGTGTGTATCATTAAATTTATTTTTTTCACGTTTAAATGGTGTGCTGGTGATGTTTCTGGACTCTATCTGACATTCACGGTGCCACCCGTGGTCATTTCAAGCACCCGCCTGATCTTACAGGTTTATTCTTTGGAATCGGTAAGGAGCACAACAGGACATATCTATACTTGACAGTATTACCCGTGGTCTCCCTGCAACTGACCTTTCTCCATTACTGACTTACCATGCCTTGTTCTGCACTGTATGTCTGTGTGGAGGTGAACATCTTGGTAGAGGCAGGGCTTTACTTCCTCATGTCTGAGCCTCCAGCAAGAACAGTGAATGATACAGTAGTGTCATTACCAAATCTCATGAGACTAACAGTCAGGGGCAGCAGTATTCCACACTGCAGATATACAGTAGTGCCTGGGCATCCTCACATACCAGAAAATGTGCTTCTATTTTTCAGCAGAAATTCAACACAAAAGGGACATTTTGTAGTGTACTGCTTAGGCCCAATGATCCCATCTAAATGGTCCCTATACCATAGCAAATATTAACTACTTGAGTTCAGTTCACAAATGGCAGTTACAAAGATACAACCTGCAGAAACATGATCCAGAACAAGTTTCTTGTATGCACACATAATTTGCTAGACAGCTAAGAACAATTCTGCTAATTCTGAACTGTGGGCTGGTCTGGCAAATGAGACTCACCCATAGCTCGGTAATAACTCAATGTAAGATGATCTGAGCTCACAAGCATACAGTGCTATCAAAAGATATCTAATAGAAATGGCACACCACAGGGACTGTGAAAAGGAGCACAAATGGTCTATAGATATAACACTAATATGTAAACTGCACTTAGACGACAAGTTATTTTATGAAGTAAAAAGTTACACAGTTTTGTCATGTAGCACAGCCAGACAGGTGACTTGACTTTTCTTTACTGCAGTTACGCAATACAGCCTGTCTACCCCAGCCTGTGATTTTGCAGTAAAGGAGTTCCTAGCTTGTGACTGAACAGCGAAAGAGCAGTAACACAGTGATATAATCATGTCTTTCCTCCTATCGACACGTTCCTTGTCTGCATATGTGCATGCAGGACACTTAACTGGTTCGTAATTCTGACCCTTCCTCCTACAGGCCCAGCGTTGCTGTACAGGGGATTACAAGACGCTGAATTCATATCCAATTCAGTTATTCATACTATCTGCATTTAAAATGTATTCAGCATTTTTGTTTTTATAAATACAGAACGGCATTCATTTGTGGGTTTTTTAACATCTGTCTGGGGTTTAGCTTTAAATTTGCTAATGTTATGCAAAGAAATGCTAGGACATTTCAGTGCATGTGATCTTTCAGAATCACTCAGTGGTTTGTATTGAATTGGACAGCAAGGTGTCTATATAGCACTGGAATCGGGTCTTCAATAACCACCAATAAGCACTTACACAGTGCTTTATATTTTATTTAAATGTTCATGAAGTCCTCAAGTTTCCTCCTACCACACAAAAAGTAATAGGATACTTGACTTCCAGGTAAAACTTACCCAAGTCTAAATCCCCTTTGAAAGGGGGTAGGCAGATGTGTCAATAGGCTGCCTACCGCAGCTAAAACACACTTGAAGTGCATGCACCTTTTTTTTAAATTGCATCATACCACATCACATGGAAATAGGTTACCATGCAATGTGATGCGATGCAATGCACATGCAATGGCTAGGTACGTTGGGCTGTCATTAAGAAATAATGGCATCACAGAGCACTTACCATAGCATCATGTGGTACAGGATTGAGATAATGTAGTTACTCCTCTCTGCTCAGCTTTTTTCCTTTTTTATTTTATCATTGATATTCCTAATATTGGTACTTGGCCTTGCATCTGGCTACATGGTCGATCTCTGGATCCGATGTTTTTATTTGGTTCTTTCATACTTTTGCTATATTTTATATGTATATATGTATATATTTAACACACCTTCCTATATTTATATATACTGTTTACTGTATTATATAGTTCTATATAGGCAAAAGTCACCGGGAGTCTGTTTAAACAGCCCCGATGCTGGCGACGTACACTGTACGTCGTCAGTCACGAAGGGGTTAACAGATGGAAGGGAAACAGAAGTGATGACTGCATTATGGTTAATAAATTATTAGATGACAACTATAGTGGAAAAATATAACCTATATATAACGTTGTTGACACCATAGTTAACATATAAGAAATTAAACAGAAACGTGGAAGTATTGGCTATAGCAACCAATTAAACCCTAGCTGCATGTTAGCAATGAAAGCTAGCAGCTGTTTGCTATATGCATTACCTTCACTTTTCTATTTTAATTTTTTTACTCTTGATTACTCTTAATAAGTTTGATTATATCAGTTTTAATACCTGCTATATTCAAAATATAGTTTGCGCATTAGACCGCTGTTCATAATCTCACCTTAACAGAGTTCTGGAGTACTGTAACTGGGAAATTTCTGCTTGGCATAGAGCTTAAAAATAATCTGAAATTCTCGTTGATGGAAACATCTGTAATATAGAGCATTTAGAATATAAAACACAGTAGTACTTCACCAAAGGTAAAATCAGTCACCTTGATCTACACAAACTTGAGATTAAAAGACGGTAATTAAATGGCTTTATGCTGGGCATTTTTCCCATGCTGCTTAACAAAATGATAATGACAGGAAAAGCCACTAATCTTTAATTAGCTGTAGGGTTGTAGGTCAATATCATTTCTCCCCCATGACAAGCAGGAGTTCAAGGGCTGTGTCACATGGCTTTTTCCGGGGAATATAAAATTAGATTGATTTCGTCAAGCGAAGAAGGACCAGGCAAGTGTCACTTCAATATTCTTCAGTGAGTTTATATAGAAACCTGTCAGATCAGTGATCTCATTCCAAGAATGATGGCAGCTAAAAGGCCAGTAAAATATGGCACAGAGCTAGAGGGCTGGGGGTGTGAAAAGGACCAGGAAGCTGCAGCATATAAACAGTACTATAGAACCTTAATACTATCTTGTAAAGATAAAAAAGTGAAAATTCAACCATTTGCAGCCAGCTGTTCATCTGGCGTCATGCTCTGGGATTATTTTTTTAAAGTAATCTGTTGTAGATTAAAGAGCAGAGTAAAATAAATACCGAAATAATGTTATTCTAGTGCTCACAGTCCTTTAAAACATTAGTGAATAAAATCTATTATGTAAGCATGCAGAGCAGAGGCTCAATATATTTTCCAGACGGGAATATTCTGTTTCTCCTTATATTGCTATTCTTGCTGAACAAATAAAAGGGGAAGCAACATAATGTTTAACAATTCTATTTTAAATACATGTATCTGATTCCCTAATGTTTCCTTGTTTGGACCACATACACTATCAAGATTTTTATTTCAATATCATGACTTTTATTTGAATATCTATAGATACACACCTATCAAAGTTTCCAAAGCCAGATTTGTAGTTCCTGACCCCCTAGGCCAACAATCTTGTAACCCCCCCCAAACACCCCCGTAGACTGGTTAGCCTTGGTATCACAATAACATGATTAGACGTCATAGGCATACAGATCACACTAAGGCTGGGGGCACAGAGTCTGAGACAGGACCATGCATCCCAGGAGACGAGTTGAGGCTATTGCCTCAGGCGGCATTCAGGGAGGCATTGTGTGGGATGACACTGGGGTATTCACAGTGCAGCTCAGTAACTCAAGAGTCTGGTAAAACCACAGGCTTACCTCCCTGCTCAGATGCAAAGTCTGCCACACAGGCATGCTCAGTAGCTAAGACTACTCAGTGATAATGTGCCTGATAAAAGTGTAGAAGTGTAGGCTCAGCCTTGCTGAGCAGAGCTCCCTGCCACTTCACCTGCCTATGTGGAAGGCACAGTGGTTGGGAGTTCTGGTCATTGACGCTGGGTCTGCATTTTTATCAGGATCAGTTTCAGTTTTCAGCCTACTCAGGAGGTAATTCATCTAGGCATGCTCTTGAATAGAGACATGTTGCCTACTCTTTCAGTGCACCTAGAACTTGCAACTAAAAAAGTATGGCAAACTATTTTCTTAGTCGGTTAGCAGTTTTTAACAAGGTGTAGTATTCCAACAACCAAAATACACAGAGGGATAACACTGAGGACCCATCTGTATATACTCACAGTTAAGGGAGCAGTCTGGTACTATTTATTCGATATTGGAATGTGTTACTGACAGTCACCAACATGTAAGCTGTGTGCTACCCCAGTCCAGCCATTCTAAGCCATAGCCTATATTGCCTATGCAGATTTCTCTTTGACACCTTTAAATGGTAGTCAAGGACAAAATCAACTGATGTAAAGCTTTACTTTCAGCACCATGGAAAGCTATCACCTTCAGGACGAGTTGACACTTGTGCACTGGCTGTTGTATTTGCCTGGTGCACAGTTATCCTACTGTAGAACTGTAGAATGTAGAATGTAGAACACCAGGTAAATGCTGTAGAATCCCACTAGGGAGAATGTCAGTAATAACTGGGTTAATTTTCCATTGAATCTTTCATAAGTAAACTCCATACTCCACTGCATTTTTCTGAATAGAATTTCATATAATCAGCAATACAAAAAAAAAAAATGTTCACATCACATACTTGGTTCTGTAAAAGTTTTTATTAGTTCTTCCATAGGCAACATCCATGATACTGCTAGGTGGCAGTTCTGTAGGAATATCCAGTTCCCGATTTTCATGCCATCTTTTATCATTCCTTCTGCAATGGGTCCCTGGCCTTGTCCTAGAGATATTGACTGTACCCTGTAAAAGTTAAATTGCGTAAATGACCAGAGCTTGCAACACTATAAATATTGGGTATTCTTTTTTTAGCTATAAAGATAAAAAAGAAAGATTTAAACTCATCTTTGTAAAACAATGTCATGGCAATATAAAAATCCGAAGCTTGTCTGATTAAGTGTATTTTTGTTTCTTATTAAAGTTCATACCAAACATAAACAAGCATGTCAATCTTCAATGTGTTTAAGAGTATGTTGACTCATACTTTATGTTTTTCATTAACCATGGTTTAAAGTTTACAAATTCCTTGGACAAATTCATTTTTTAAAGAATATAAACTGAGAACAGAAATGTAACACAAACCTGGGGAAGAGGTTGGGTAACTCCATGGTAAAGTGATGGGAAAATAAATGGGGAAGGGGAGTTCAAGTCTATTTTTCAAAACAAAATCACTACCAATAATACAATTAATTGTGTTTTTTAAATCATAACACAACCTAAAGGCTTCTAACTAAACCAAGCACTTTTGACCTAGTTGAGCACTATATTTGGTCTACGCAGCCGACATAGAGAGACAGAGAAAGAGAATGTATATAACTAAGACACTTAATGGATTTTCTTACCTTTCCAAATATCCTTTTTCTTTTGCAAATCTTTGAAATGCTCCCATTGGGTCTGATCCAGTACTTAGTATAAAAATTAAAGGTGTAGAGGGTGACATGTCTTGGTAGAGAGTAGCAAGGTCGACTGGTGGATTCTCAATGAATTTCTTTCCGAGATTAAGAATCACGAATTCTGTGATTGCAAAAACAACCTAAAAATAAATATAATTTTAATACTTAAAATGAGAAACATTCATTTAAAAAAGGCATCTAAGGCTATTCAGCAAAATTGTAGACATGTGTGGATACTGTATATCTATCTATCTATCTAGATATATCGATATCTATATATAGATATACTGTATCTATCTATATTTAGATATATATATTTGCAATTTACATTTGCAAAACTATTCAACCCCCATTGCAAATCAGGTTTATTGGTAAAATGTACAGACTTTCAGCTGTTTGTAATGAACAAATCAAACAAAAGCAACTAAAATAGGTCAAACTTAATGTTTCAAATGGATTCCCCAAATTTAACTGAAAGTGCAACTTTTAATTACTTCTGCAGTCTCAAAATTATTCAACCACTTAATGGCAAGCATCTTTAGTACTTCGTAAAGCACCCTTTTGCTGGTATGACCTGCTGCAAACGAGATGCATAGCCAAACACCAGCTTCTGGCAGCGTTTCTGAGGAATCTTAGCCCATTTCCCATGAGCAATGGCCTCTAGTTCACTAATATTCTTGGGTTTGCATGCTGCCCACCGCATTCTTCAAATCCCACCAGAGATTTTCTATGGGGTTCAAGTCAGGTGACTGTGATGGCCACTGTAGAATCTTCCAGGACTTCTTCTGCAACCAAGCCTTGGTGGAATTTGAGTTAAGCTTGGGATCATTGTCCTGTTTGAAGGTCCAATGACGCCCAAACTTCAGCTTCCTTAATGATGGCATGGAGTTTTCTACTAAAATTTCCTGATACATCAATTAATCCATCTTGCCTTCCATACACTGCAGGGTTTTAGTAGAAGAGGATGCAAAGCAGCCCCAGATCATTACCAAGCCAGCACCATGCAATAACTGTAGGCAGAGTGTTCTTTTCAGTGTATGCTTCATTCTTTTTCAGGGCTGTTGCCACCAAATCTTGCTGCAGGTCTTTTTAAGTCACTCAAGGGTTTTTCTCAACCTGCCTTGTGTGAAATTTGTTTGCAGCCGTTAATAGCTTCCTTTTTCGGCCCCGTCTAGGTAACTACCATTGCATTGCAAACTATGCTTCCAACGGTGTCTCTAGGAACATTCAGTGCTTTCGCTATCTTTTGGTATCCTGTTCCTTGCTTGTGAAGAGCGTTGATCTCTTCTTTTAACTTTTTTGACTATTCTTTTGCCGTACTTCTAATGCAGTCAAACATGACACTCAACAAACCTCAAGCCTGTTTAGGTATTTCAAGCTCACCTGATGTAACTAATGATACTCTTGATTAGTTGCATCAGGTGTGCTTGAGACAACACCTGTTTTGCAGATGTTTGCTTTGAGGGGATCTATTCAGGGGGTTGAAAAATGTGGAGACTACAGAAGTTATTAAAAGTTGCATTTTCAGTTGAATTTGGGAAAACCAAATTCCAAACTGTTCTTTGACTTCCTGTTGACTCACCGTCCAACTGAGCCTTATGTGCATATTGTCTGACAATATAAAATAACATAACACCAAGGCATTTTTTGGAACACTACATCCTTTTCTGGGAAAAACATTATTTGATTATTGCACACCTATACCTGTAACAGTCATTGTTTTGAAAACATTGAAACTTTTAGATTTTTCTGTGGCCACCCCTACTCCTTGGGACATCATAGCAGGACACTGAATGCTGTGATACTATGCAATGCGTGAAATATGTGATGCATTGCCTGCTAGTTTCTGAGTGCATCATATCTCCAACCCACAATATAGGGTCATGCAGACTATGTTATGTTCATAACATATGTTTGGTAAATGTTGTGGGTTGGAGATATAATGCACTCAATGCATTTCATTGATTCTTTTAGTAAGACTTAATATTTATTGATCCTTATATGTGTTAGAATTTTATAGTATCAATGCATTCATATATATGTTACAAAGTTCTGTATATGCTTAAAAAACCTTTTACTTCATGTTTACTTGGGATGTTGGTAAGGTCCCTACTTGAAAGGCTTGTTTCTGAATTTTGTGAACTAAAACTGATCTAAGCCCCAGTGGTCCTTAGTTCTTCACAATGCCCTTGTAGTCTAAATTGTAAGGTGTATAATAAATAATTCAATAAATAAAACATATTACAATACTTAGCAAGAGATACAAGCTAAGTGCAACTACTGCTCCTGGCTTAGGCTGCAGCGGAAAGAGTGAATCAAGACACTGCCATGCAGCAAATTAGTGGCTCTGGCCTGAACAGTTTCTGGTTGAAGAGCACCCCAGCTAGACTGAGCTTGGATCAGGTATTAGATAAAGATTATAACCATATATTCAGTTTTTTTATTTAGCACAGCAAGGAAGCTGTGAAGGATTCTGAGTTCTTCTGAGTGGTAAAACCTTTTTAACACCTTAATTATTGGCGCATAACTGAACATTTTGATGTTTCAGATGAAGAATAGTCGCAGGCATTAATAAAGTATAAAATTGTCTGCCCAATGTAAACAATCTAAATCTAAATTACAATTTACATCTAAATTACAATTTCTGCAAAAATTATGCAAAAAAAGCTAGTATGACTTATGCCTCCCACTACTCATGCTATGTTTGAGAAGTTAGGATTTTTTTTTAAATTATTTCTTTTTTTTTAAAATCACATTTTTGTTTACCTTTATAAAGCAACACTTCACAAAAAAATTATTAAAATATTTGGCTTGCTTCTCAAAACATAAGATTAATTAAAAGGTAAAAGTTAAAAATGCTAAAAGGTTTTTTGATTTATTTGTTTAAATAAATGAACACTACCAATTCCTAATCCTAGCAATGCTAATTAACTGTTATTTAAAGAAAGCTTTGTTTAGCATAGAAAAAAAAGGGCAAGAATAGAATTAATTTAAATTTTACTAGAATCTGCAAACAGCATTTTCTTTTCGGTTTAGTAAGAAGATTAGTTTCCTAATAATGAATGGACAGCATTGCATACAATATTTAAAGAAGCAGCCTTACAGAACTGCAATGTAACTTGCAAGAGGCATGCTCAAGGTTGGTTCATTCATAAGTACTGTGCATGCCAATAAGTGAGTGACTGGCAGATAATGCACAACAAACATTTCTCAGGACATTCTTTAGCTAGTCAGCACAAAAAGCCTATTTAAACTTTTTTGACATTTTAGTTTAAAAGCAGAGATTTTTGTTTGATACATATGAAAATAAATGTAAAACCTCACTGCTCCGTCAAGGCACCTCAGTTAGTGTGGTCCATAACGCTTAGGTATCTGAATTCCCAACCATGGGACATATATAGAAATGCATAAATTGCGCGCAGATATGCCTTGGAGGTAGCCCCTTCCACCTTATAGGAGCAGAAACCCACCGGGAGCCCAGACTCACTCAAGGCAGATGGAGACCACTAATGTGTTTCAGCAGCAAATACAAAAAAAAGAGAATATGGCAGCTACTCAGAATTTATATGAAGCATAGAGAAAAGGTGCATGTGGACAGGGTAATCTACAAACCAATGTAAACTTCCATAGCAGACTCTCTAACTAGTTAGTAACCACACTTTACACACTTCTTAAGGGCAATGTGTTTTCACATGTATTTTCAAATGTATACAAAAAAAAATGTTTTTTACCTAAAATGCTGAAGCAGTTTGTAGAGGGTATTTGTGCTGATCAGCTGGAGAATGTGCTGCAATATTTTTGTACTGTTTTGCAGACTGTCCTGTACAAATACACCTTTCTCTTTTTTTGATGCGTATAAATTGTTCTGAGCAGCTGCTATATTTCCTTTGACATATAACTGTGACACTTTAGGCTGTTTGTCAGTTGATATCTGGTCACCACTAATCAACAATTAAATGGCTGGATATGAGGATCCAGCAGTACACTGTGATGATATGACTGCATCTTCTGTTTCCTGTGCAATTAGTTAGTGAAAGGTGTTGCAATTTAGTTTATAGTCAATTCTGCCAAAGATTAATTCAAACAAATGTCAGATGAATGGCAGTATAATATACAAATATAAACCAGTTTAAAGTCAAAAAGTATGCAGTGCTTGGAAAAATAATACTACATGAATCAGTGGTCTTATGCCTGATAAAGCAACTGTGTCTGAAAGGCATAAATGTCTAAGATCATATCTACTGTTGATGACAGTTGACTCATGACATACTCATTGCATAGTTGGTTAGGGTGAAAAAAGACACAAGCCCATAAAGTTCAACCTAAGAAAGAAGGTAAGAAAAAAAAAAGCCTCAATAAACAGAACCCTGTGCCCACAGTTATCCACAGCTGATCCAGGGAAATGCCAAATAATCCCTATAAAGCATGGTTCAATTTGTTCCAACAGAGGAAACATTTCTTACTGATGCCAAAGAGGATATTCCCTGGATCAACAATCTCTGACCCATGAGAGATTTGTTTTCTTTGAGATTTATCTAGACATATTTTGTTCATGGTTTTATATCAGCAATTGTTCAGCAAGCCAACTGCACTTATCTGATTACTAGAATGACAAACCAAGATGTGTATTCAGATTGGGAAACACAAAGTAGTTTTCCTTTAAAGGACCCAGTAAACATCTCCAAGGTGATTCTTGCTGGAGATGTCCTATCCAAGTCCAGCAATAACCAGTCCATATTGTTCAGAATTTACAGTATATTATAACATAGATATATTTTTAAAAATAATTGTTACCTGCTCAGAAAGTTAACCATCTGTTTAACATTTTTACTGTGCAACCCAAGGTTCTATGCTTGCTGCCACTTTAGGCTACACTAGTCTTAGCATGAACAGGCTAAAGGATATTTCATGGGAAGTCAGCCATATGTCTCAAAATATCACTACCAATTACTAGTTTATTTTTAACAAAATGCTTACTGCACATTATTTTCTAAGGAGCTAGCAGCTGACAGTCAAAATGTGTATATTGCCAAAACCTTTTTTAGCTAGTGTAGGGAAGGGCTAAAACTGCTCCCAGTTAATGTTTTGCTGTTTGTGCACCAAAAGAGACATTTTCCTTCACTTTTGTGTGTCAGAGATACAGGAAGTGAAGGGAATTCCTCACTTAGACAGCTGTCCCCACTGGAAGATGTCGCCTTATGTTTTCTAAACCTTCTCTAAAATTTTGGACTTGCCCTCACTTTCTGTTTCAGTGACAATGGTCATCAGGACAAACAAAGTGGTGATTCTGCCTCTTCTGTAGATGCAGACAGCAATATAAACTTGAGAGAAGGTCTAACCCTTCCCCATGCCATCCAAAACTAAAACAAAAGTTTTGCCTAGAGATACATTTTAGATGAAAGAGGGTGGAGCTGAGCACTGGGAGAAGTAGAACTTGCTCTAAATATGGAGATAGCTCAAGGCCTTGTATACAGCATAGACCTAAGATCTAAGGTTCTTCCCAGGCACAAAGGACCTGATTTGGCACTATAAGATGCCTGCTCTTTAGTAGTAATGCTTATTTATACACTGTGGTGGACATGGCAGATTCACATCAAGTGTATACCTTAGTATTCCTGTTTTTCAGTTTCCAGCTGATGGGATAACTCTTTTGTTAAATGTCATATATATTTGACATGCAACAGTTACTTACCTTTTCTTCCATTGCGCTTTTAACAAGAATCAGCTTCTGAAATAAGGTCAGTTTCCCGTCCCATGATTCACGCACAGTTTCACTTTCCTTTCCAGGCTGTACCTTAGACATCTGAGTGTTATACCCATCCCAAGCAGAGGGATTAATTTGAATTTCTAGGGACCCTAAAAATTCAGGACAACAGTTATTATCATTATACTGTATATTTACTTTCCATGAGAAAATCGTTGGTGTGGTAATTCAGGAACATATTGGACGAGAAATACTGACAAAAAGAGACAAGTCATATGAACAAGTTTGGGCATTGTAATAAAATACACCTCAAGTAAGTGCACATAGGAGAATGCTACAGGGCAAACCCAGAACACTGTGTAAGGTCTATAGCTCTCCTTTGAATTAAAGTATATGTAAACCCTAACAATGAACTTATTTGATCCCTTTTGTTCAGTTGAATATACGATTCAGAGTGTATTATATCTGTTCAGAGCTGTGCACACTTCAGTCCAACAAAAAAAGAGGTCCACAGCAGATTGAAAATGATTACCGGTATGGTTTTAATGATTTTTAGGTTGCTGTATTTGGAAAATATATTTGACCGATGCATTGACAAATACATTGTCTATTTTTAGATAATCATCAATACTGGAAAAAAGAATATGGTCAGAATAAGTTTTAGGGGCATATATATGAATGCCAGAGCAATGAAAAATTTAGCTTATGTTGAGCTATTGCCTACAGCAAGTACAAAGATTCCTGTTTTGGTTGCATGAAAATGGTTTAAAACCGTTTTAAAATCTGAATCAACTGCAAGAGACTGCAGTGACCAAAAACAGCCTCCCCTGATGATTGGGATTCTGAATCTGAATCAGAAATGACCATGGAGGCTGCAGACTCGGTCTGGCTCACCATTACAGGAGGGTCCAAAACAGACTCTGCCAAGGATTGCACCAAAGCAAGCTGAATGTTACAGTATCTAAGCACAAACAGCCAGAAGGTCCCCAGAACCATTAGGGGAGTGTGAGCTGAGGTCACTCGTAGCCAGACTATCCGCAGCGGGTCTTTGTGAAAACATACTGCACCATGTGGACGTCAGCGACTAGGCCCAATGTGAGACAAGGCCTCAAGTACTCACAAACCCAGGCAGAAGTGCAAATTAGGTATTCAGGCAGCCGGAGGTTACCAAGGATATCCACTGGATGGTGCTTCCACTAGGCTGAATGGCCAACACAGTCCCTCAGCCTTAAGCCTTACCACAATGAGAAGGCAGAGACAGGAAATTTTAAGAATGGCACCTATTGGTACCAGCTGTGAGGTACCTCCCAGTGCTTCATACAAACCAGTATTCAGAGTCACAGGCTGCGCCACAGCTCTTGAGCCAGAAAGTGCTCTGTGATAACTGCGGTAAACTAACAGTAAATTAAGGTCTGGAAAGTTCTGCAATGCATAGCCCAGTGCCCAAAGGTCATTTCAGGCTATACTCTACATGCCCAGAGACCTACACATAACTTAAGTCTTCAGGAACTGGGTTACACCAGGGGCTGTGCCAGGGCTCTAGACCAGGATGGCACCTTGCTCCTAACAGTACACAAAGGTCTGAAAAGCACCACATGCAGTGTCAAGTCACATTCCAGGCTACCCCCACAATCTTCCAGTGCAGCTGGGTTTGGGTATGGCCACCAAAGTTGTTGCTGTGAATACACTGATCTGGATAGCTGCTTTGTAGAGTCCAACTCAAGCAGTGTTCAGGAAGTTTTGACTAATTATCTACAGTGTACTGCGTATCCTTATTGAAGAAAAAAATAAGATAAAAAGGGCCTTTTTTCAGCAGAGCTGAGGAAATGTGCCCAACCTCCTAGGACACAAGCAAAAAAGCAAATAACCCAAATATTTAAGAATTACTACATTGCCATGTCAGTGGACAATAAACAAATACATTATGAAATCAAACGTATTGCTTTAGCCAGGCATTTTGCTTTTCTCAAAACTTATTTCCTCCAATTTGATAACTCCATCCTGCCAACCAGAAGTTACATTCTGTATGTGTAAACACACATTGGGGGGAATTTATCATAGCAATTGCGAGTGTTTGAACTTGCACATAATATATTTGTGCTAGATTTATGTTGCTAGTGTAATGTTGTTCATAAATCAGGTTTAACAGATTCCAGGAAAGAAGACTTGTAACTTCAGGCAAAAAGCTTAACTGTCGCTTCTTGAAGAAGAGGTCATAGGAACTTCTTAAGTTGTGATTGTTTTGTTAGGTGATGCTCCAGTTTCATACAGCCGCAGAACAAGTGCAGATGAAAACAGGTGCAAAACACGTGCAGTTGGAAAAGTAGTGCAAGCTCAGGTGAAAACAGGGGCACATGTTAAAAGACAGATTTGCACATTACAGTACTACACTTTTATCAGAAGGCGGGGCTTAGCTTAGGCATCATTTAACAAATCGACAAAAAGAAAAAAGTATGGAACACCACACCAAATGTTCAATACACTCACATGTATTTGAAGCAGCCCAGCCAGATATGGTGTACTCCTCTATATAGACTTCCTTCACATACCCAGTACAGCGTTTGGATTTAGCACCTCCTATCTACAAGATCACTATCCTTTGACAAATGGCAGGGCTCTTGCTTCAAGACCACCAATTCTCTTAAAAAACAAGCAATGGTACCAACAAAAATGTAAGGAACTCATGTAAAATAGAGATATATTTTAAAGCCCTTCATACATTTTACTTATCTCTATTTGCCTATTGTCATGAAAATTTACATTTCCTTTGCCTTGCATGTCCTCTGAGAGACCATTGATGTGGTTAACCACAGAGGCTTCAGTATTCAACTTTTTAATAATTGTAATAGTAAGAATTAATAAACATTTGAAATGGAGTTGATTTTAAATGAATAGTCCCATGAGCAAACTTCTTTTCCATAATAATTATTCCCCTGTGGTGTTCTGCAATGCTGGATTTACCTGCGTTTGCCACCCGTAAATTAAAAGCTGAGAATCATTAGAGCACTATTCTGTAGCTAACGAGCTTGATGTCATTTTACATTTGAGGTTAATTGCAATATTTGTCTTTATTCCCAGAGGATGATAGCCTTGATTGTATAGGGAAGAAATCTAATTTCATAGTTCTTAGGATAGATGTGACCATGCAACGCTAACAGAATCAATCTACGTTTTGAATTATTCATTCACACGGTATTTGCGTCAATTTAATAACCCCCATTTTTACATCATGCTACCCTCAGCACACCTGATCCTTCTTCTTAGCTGCCCCTTTGCCCTATATTGCTCTGGTTACATTTAGACATGTGCGATTCGTTTAGTTGCGAATCAAAATTCGGATGAAATTTCGGAAATTCGTGGATTCGGAGCATCCGAATTTCCGAAATGTACCATGTCCGAATTCATCCGAAAGCATCCGAATCCAAAATTTTGGATTCGTAATTTCGGATTCAGTACGAATTTCGTCCTAACAGAAACTAAATGAGAAATTTACGATAATGACTTCAATAAGAGGATTTCATAGCATGTGAAGATAAAAACAAAACAATACTTCATGTTCCTGTGCATGCACCGTCAACGGATAAAAAAATTAAGAAAAGGATTTTAATGTGCCTTTAATAGTGAAGACTAGAGCACAGCAACCAGATATGTCAACTGTGTCAATTCTGCTACATACGTGCGTACGAACATTCGTCCGTTCACGCAAAACCCCAAATTTCAGAAATTTGATCTGAATTATGAATCCAATCCGAATCCGAAACCCAAAACGAAACACATACTGGACCCGATTTCAGAAATCCGAAATCCGAAACAAAACAATTTTTTTGCGGCTGCACATGTCTAGTTACACTTGCACACAGATTTCCAGAAATGGACAAAAGAGGGAAAAAAGTGATCAGAATTTGTTAATTTTACAGTTTTTACCAGCATAGGAGGTGTGGAGCAATTTTCCAGTGGGGACAGTTGTTTTCTGGAGTGGAGTTTTCTCTCACTTCCTGTTCTATCTTCACAATGAGTAATGAAGGAAAATCCCACACAAACATAATAAAAAAAGGGATTATTTTATCCAAAAATAAAAAAGGGTTTGGGTATAGATACATTATCTGTAATCTCATGAGATCTCAGGGAAAGGCATTTCCCGTCCCTGAGATGATGTACATGGTCACGTGTCCTAGTCACATGTGCCAGACTTCCAGGAAGTAAAGGGTGATCTAGTAACCTGCCCTTAGGTAAAATGGCCACTGTCAGAAAGTTCCACTTTTACTAATGAATGTAAGATGGTTGTTTAATCATTGCTGTATTTGTGCTTTGTTGCAAGGCAAGTTTGTGTGGACATGTAAGACTAAAATAATGTTTACAGATGATTTTGTTTAAATTTTATAATTTCTGGAAAATGTTTACAGTTATATTTTGAATTGTTCTTGACAGCTCTCTATATGTTGACTAAACAAATATTTTTTGTGGACATATATACATGGTTATTCACAAAAGGGTGAAGAGTTAAGAGAAGGCAGATATTAAAAACACTTACCTAAAGAGATTGTAATTGGTAAAGATAATATATCGGTTTTTATCCCTTTAAAGCATGGGAGTATCTTTTCTAGGTCACAACAACTAACCCAAATGACATCAGAAAGCCAGGGCACATCTGGTTTACTGGGGTGCTCCTAATTAAACAAAAGAATAAGCATTTAATTAATGACATAATTCATGACTTTATTCTAAGGTTTGCACCTCCCTGCAACACCACTCAAGCAAAAAACAACACAAGAACATAACAGCACAACCAGACTGGTCTGCCTAGGACCTGCTTCCTGTTGCGTTTTGAGAATGGGTTGCTTATGATGAACCAGACAAGTCTCACTGCCCTATCCTAATATCATTACACGCTCTTAATGTTTTTCACATTGCTCCCGTTTTAGATGGTACACTGTGGTTAATCCAACAGAATTTTGTGCTGGGATGAGAGATACACATTATCAGCTGTGGATTCTACATGTTGAAATATGATTTCCAAAACACAACCACAACTGACATGAGCATTTTACCCTGTATTTGTACATGCTGGAGTCTGTGGATGGTGTCGTGAAGCCACTAAATGTGTGAATTTGTGTGACAAGCCAGTACCACTACAGCAGTGCTTCTCAACTTTACACTTCACGTACAGTATGTCTTTATGACATTGGATAATTGCATTTTTGTACATCTGTTTCATTCGAAGTTAAATTCCAGACAAACGTGTACCTGACAAAGGATTTGTAATTCTGTCCAGCCACTTTTGTGATTCACACACCTTTACCAGACAGCACAGCCAGTAGGGTGACACTACTTTTCCTGATACAGGTAAAGTAAACATTTGCTTTGCCTATAAAGGGCAAACTAAAAGGTTTACTTAGCTCCCCACCACTAGGAGCATTACTTGTTTTTCCTTCACTTCTGTTTGGCCATCAGGAACAAAGTGAAATACCCAGTACTTTCAGGTATGTAACCTATTCCTCAGGAAACTGAAACTTTTAAACATCAAGGAGCAGCATCCATTGTAAGTGATTTATTCAGCCTTTTAAATAGTTTAAAACCCTTTTAATTAAACACAAATATACCCCTGGAGGTGTCTGAAGTACCTTGATACTCTAGTTGAGAAACTGCATTGTACCCAATTATGTTGTAGTGAGCTTCAGTCCAAGAGGCTGCCACACTGACATGATAAAATAATAGTCTGTGCAATGCTATCATGGAGGGTAGAGTGTAGAACGCCTCGGCTCATTTCATTATACAATGCACTCCTCTGTTCTTACTATATAAGGAACCCGCATATGTCAGTTTGGGTTTAGTTCGTATCAGAGCTCTTCATTTCTTTACCTGAGCCTCAAGTCATGCTTATACAATGGTTTGATTCAGCCCGCTACCTGCGTGACTTTATGTTTTTTACATTAGACATATTACATGGTTCAAACAGACTGCATTATGCCTTACCTAAAGAGCTGTTTTCTCAATGACAGCCAGTTCATTCGATAACAAACACTGGGAGCTAGGAAGTTTTCCTTGTGGGTTAATGGTTTGATGCACAAGATTAAGCTTATCGCTAGGTTTACATGAACACATTCCTCCCTTCAGGCCATAGGTTTAGATTCAAGCTATTGAGATATGAAAACATCCAGAAGATTTATCTGTACTAAAAGCAATAAAATCCCACCTTATCTAAGCCTGCAGCCCCTCGCAGGAAGAAATTCCATTCTGACTCAGTTATTTCTCCGTTCTGTCGCATGATCTCTATGCATAGCATAAAACTGTAAATAAGCTTGTGCTGTTCAAAAAGGCCTCGTGAAACATTGGTATAAGCCGAAAAAAGCGTTTCCTTGAGAAGGGTTGCTAGACGGGTGTCAAGATCATTACTCTTTTCAGCAGACTCAATTGTCATGTTGAATAACTGAGAAGAAGAAAAAAAAATAAGTCAACAGAAAATGTGCACAGGCATACCTTGAAAGAGGTCCATTTAATTGCAGTGCATACAAATAGGATAGATTCAAAATAATATATCTGGCAGTTGCGTACAGTTCATGTTTTACATTTATGGGATTATTCAGTGTGATATTACAAAGAGCAATCATGGTGGGTGATGTGCAGTAACCCGTAACAACCACATTTCAGAGTTAGATTAACCCTTTCCCTGCCAAGGACATATGGCATACGGAGGAACAAAAGTGTTTCTGGCTGGCCAAGGACGTATGCCATACGGACCTGGCATTTACAGTTCTGCTATAAGCTCATGGACACTTTAGCGACCATGAGCTAATACTAGAACTGTTTCCCGGACTGTCCCCTTCAAATTAATAGCTGTAGATCACTCCAGTGTTTGTAAATAACTGGGGACACATACTACTATGTGTTCCCAGTTATAAATGAACAGGCTGAATGAACAGATTTACATCACTTTCTGTTCATTCAAGAATTTATGAATGGGGACTAGCACTAAACAGTATAAAAAATAAATAAAACATTTTTAAAAATGTAAAAAAAATGTAAACTATAAAAAAAGTAAAAATAAATAAATAATGTGTAAAAAAATGAATTAAAAAACACAGCCCCTCCCTCCCCCCACACACATAACATACACCATATTGTGGTGTACACCATGCACTTGCACTGCGTTGTTAGAACGCATCGCTGTGCATGATTTATTTTATTTTCCTTTTCTTTTAAAAAACCATTAATTTAACTGTGGCAGCGCATGGCAAAGCTTTGTGACGCATTGCCATGCGTTGTGATACCTTGTGTTGCAATTAAATATACTCCTGTATCATTTTATCAGAACACAAACACCAACACAGCGTAAAAACAATTTTTAACATAAGTCGCTTATTTACAGTTTTGCGTACCCTCATGTTTTTACCTTTTCGCAAAAAGGCGCAATTTCAAATTTGCAAATATATGTTATTAATTAACTCATTGCAGTTTTATGTTTTAGATTTAGTCAGAAAATATTTTTTCTGTGCACTGATACTGATTTTAGTGTGTTTTATCAATTGAATTGTGTATTTTTATAGGTTTAATATTAATTTGAGAAACATTTGCGCAATTATCGCAGGGCCCGCAAATTTAGTTGCACCATCTTTTTATTCTACCGGGCCTGCGCTTTCAGAACATATATGGTTTGGGGGGTCTTTTACAAACGCTAGCAACGCAGCAATTGAAAATCAAATCAATGGGAAAAATTGCAAAAATGGCGTGGCCAGCTGAGTTGCAAAATGTTCCGGAGGGCTTGGCAGCGAAAGGGTTAAGGGGTCTATTTGTAAACAATTTGCAGAGCAATTCTCTGTATAACTCTGAACATTCATTCTGTGCAAATAGAAGCAAAATAAGCATTTATTTCCTATGTTCCTCAGATCTATCTAGTGGCCATAATATGGTATTACAAATACACTGAGAACATTCATTTTTGCCTATATGCGGACAGAACGAATGTTCACAAAGAAATGTTGAGCAATGGCTTTGTGAATTATTTATAAACAGACCCCAAAGAGATGTCTTCTGATTTCTAGCTATGTTTTCACTATGAACATCACTACTTTTCCTGCTACTTCACCATAGTTACAGCTGACGGGTGACACAGAAGCTGTCGCACATCTGCTCTATTCATCAAAAACTGAGCAATCACAAACCGCTGATTGCTCAGTTCATGATCTTCTGCCAGGGGATACCCCCTCCCCTTTCCATTTCTCCAGTGCTGACTGGAGGGACGGACAGGGGAGGGGGTGGGCACAGCTACCGAGGCCGAGCCAGCAGTCAATCAGGCAGCGGGGTGGATCCCAACTCTACAGAGGCAGAGCCAGCTGTCAATCAGGCAGCGGGGCGGATCCCAACAATATTGTCGGGTTCTTTTCTGGCTGCAGCGCGACTTCACGCTGTCAGTATATAACGGGCAATAACCCGCTATTTGCTGAGTTTTGTGACCCTAAAGAGAACTGCAGCCAAAAAAAATTTGACCATAATTCTCTTTTAAGTGATGAATGTTTTAAAGCATTTTGCAAGTATGATGTTTAAAGAAGATTTTTTTTATCCTAATTCCCCCATAAAGAAAAAAAATTCCAAAATCTTGCTTCACTCTTCAGTGTTCATAGACCTCCACAGTTGTCCACCATTGGCCCTTTTGATCAAAGATACATTCCCCTGGGAAGCATCATTACACAGCTTGGGTTCACAATAGAATACTACATAGACCAACACCGCCCTATGCGGCAGGGAGCTACCTGCCACCCTTGCTCAAGAGGATGAAGAAGAACCATGGCTTGTCATATGACCACATGAAGGATTAAGATGTTAAGGTATGTATCCTGAGAATTAAAAAAAAAAACATGTGCGCTGGGGTGCTGGGGGTTGCATAGAGGTTGGCTGTGCTGGGATAAAAAAAGGAGATCTAATTTAAATGTTATATAATCCTGTGAAAAGTCATACTATTTGCTTGATACAACGGTAATGCATCAAGGATAGAATGTGAAAGTTAAGTGCAGAACAAAACTGTCATTTAGCATGTCAGAACATTAAAATCTAGACACTTTGCAGAAGCTTATTTGCAAGGCATGCATTAGAACTATGAAAAAAATGAAGTGGAGAAGGGTAAGAACATCTGTCAGCATTTTATTGCTGTTTGTATTACTGTTATTATTATCATGGATTACAGGATTTATATAGCGGCAACAGTTTGTGCAGCACTTTACAATATAAGGAAGACATTACAATCACAATACAATTCATGACATGATGGTAAGGAGGGCCCTGCCCGTGAGGGCTTACAATCTAAAAGTGATACATGAGGAGGTAGCTGTGTGGGGATGAATTATTTGAGAAAGTGATAGTTTAGTGGTTAGGTTGAGGTGGGATAGGCTTCCCTGAAGAGATGAGTCTTAAGGGATCGCCTAAAGGCAGTCAGAGTGGGAGATAGTCCGACAGGTTGGGGTAAAGAGTTCCAGAGGATGGGAGAGACTCTAGAGAAGTCCTGGAGGCGAGCATGGGAGGAGTTGACGAGGGAGCTGAAAAGCAGGAGGTCTTTGGAAGAGCGCAGGGGACAGTTAGGGTGATACTTTGAGAAAAGGTTTGAGATATAGCCGGGGGCAGAGTTGTGGATGGCTTTGTAAGTGGTTGTTAATATTTTGAATTTTATCCTTTGGGCTATCTGTTGAAGATATTTCCTCTTACTTTCTGTTCTGGTGACTCTACGGGAAATGAAATAAAATCTAAAATGAAGGGAAAAATCCCCTTTTGTCAAATGTTACATACTGTAATAGGTGTTCTTATTGTGAAATTTCTGTTCTGGCGACAACTGTAACATTTGGGTTCTCCCCTGACGTTTTGTCACTGGGAAAAGTAGTGAGAATGAACCTCCAGAATGGGGGCACAGACAGCAATAGAAACCAGAGGTTCTAACCCGGGGATATCATTTTGTAGTGCCAGAATATGTAAGCAAACATGTAAATGGCAGTTGTGGAAATAATAGAAATATCAGTGTTTAACTTACTTGTTTGAAGTACTTCAATGAGAACTGATACATCGGGTCTACTTCTGAGAGACTGGCAATGACAAAATAGATAACGGACCCCTGCGTGGCCACTGTCCTGTACTTCTCTCGAGCTGTATTTATTTTTTGCTCTGTGGCTTCAGCCTCTTGCAGTCTAGTTTTTATAGCTCCTGAAGTTATCTACAGCCAAGGAGGAAAAATATAATTTTACATATTACAAATGATACAAAATTAATTTTTACTGTTTACCGTATAATAGAATACCGTAGTGCAACTCCCCTGAGTGAGCCAAATCCTGCTTCATTTGTGTCTCACATACTCCCCATCCCAGAGACTACAGCTCACAATGGGAGGGTTTCAGCAGCACTGGCAGTTCTGCCAATCAAAAAAGCAGTGGGCAGGGCTTGGTGTGGCCCATTGCTGAATAATAAGCTATAGGTTATTGAATCAGCCCACTGTAGTGTAATCAGGCACAACCTATATGAGTGACAACACTGCTCTGAATTCAGGAGCAGCACAGCATTGTTGTCCCCCCATTAGAGGATGATGCATTAGGTTGACTTCACTTCAGGTCCAACAGGTATTTGTGAGACTTTGCAGGGGGACTAAGGGAAAGATGTCAGTGCAGATGCAGTTATAATAAAGTGCTGCATGTTGCTATTTTTTGTATTGGGACACCATAGTTCCACTCTAATCTATGGAATTGTAAAATATGCCTCTAAAATCCATCTTTATTGTTTCCTATTTTTAATATTAACACTTTAAGGGTGATTTACACTATAAGCAGAGAACGTTCACTTAGTAAACTGAATGTTCACTTAACTAAGTGAACACAAGAAAGCGGTGTTTGCCTTGGATACCCAATCATAACGAAGAGAAACTAAAAGAAAAAAGTAAAAACAGGATTTTTGTTTGTACTTGACTGGATAATTGAATTAAAAACAGCTTCACCTTATTCATTAACCTATTGGAACATTCACTTTACTAAGTGAACAGTCTGTAGTTTGTAAATTCACCCCATTGAAAACAATGTACTATCTATGTAGGGGATACGTTTTCTCGACAGTTGCCAAGTGAGACTGACACCAGATGCAACTAACACACTTGTCTATAGTGACACCTGACCTCTAATCTATAGAGATTCCTGCTACACTTGTCTATAGGGATTCCTGACACACTTGTCTATAATGACACTTGACTGTAGTGACTCCCATTACGTCTATGAAGGTTCTCATTTACCCAGGTCATGGTATAGCTAGTTGTCTTGACCTGAAATGTTGAAAAATGTACAGAACATTATAGTTGAATTCTACAAGCAACACCTGGTTTACATGACTGGAGTGACACCTGACTCACCTAGCTTTATCAATACCTGCCACACTTGACTGTAGTGACAACTAACCCACTTGGCCCATGTGAGGAGTTTAAGCAACATTTGACCCACATGACCTATTTTACTGCAGTGACACCAGAGCTTTGTGAACTCCATGACTCGGGATGCAAAAAGTGATTTTGGTGAACTTGATTTTGCCATGAAATTAGCAATTTTTCAGTTGAGATAACATGATTTTTCTTTATCAATAAGGCAATTAATAATCATCAGCTCCCCAATTATATGGTGATCACATGGCTATGCTGATAAACAAAAGTCATATGACCAAACACAATCTTAATTAAGTTTTTTTAATCAATAAAGCCATGTAATCAAGTATTTTTGCCCTACAAGTGACACACCTGACTGTAGTAACATCTGACCCACCTGAGTAATATGAGGAGGACAAGCAAGAAGAGTCATGGAAATGAGGGGTGCTAGGAGTATGTATGTTCTAACTTGCACATAGCACACTGAGCCAAACAAGCCCACAGAAGCTTAGTATGGCCCACAAACTGTCAGTCAATCCATCTGCATTAACAATATTCTTCAGAAAAGCACACTAGGAACATACCATGGTTTATACATAGCCACAAAGGCCTAGTTTTAAAACACATTGATATGATAGATCTGTGACAAAATGTGACAAACCGAATCATCATCTAATGTTTGGTGCCACCTTTAAAGCTACCTTCAAAAGAACTTAGATTTGATTGTGATAAACCTAATTCTGTTTCCTAAATAACTTAGATCACATGACACAACTGGAGAATCCATACATGGAAATTCAGAAGGTGAAGCTGACCTTTGACTCCTGAAGAGTATTGATAAGTTCCTCATTGTCCAGGATATTCCCCTCCGATGTAAAAAGCAGCTTTAAGATTCGTTCCTCAATAGCTTTCAACTGGTTCTTGTCAGAGTTTATGCGGATAATAAGCTGGTTTCTTTGCTCCTCTAGATCAGGTCTTTCAATCCTCACAACATCACTACAGGATTGATATAATATTTAACACTTTCACAAATATGAACAGAAATTAAAAATAATGAATTACAAGTAATGTTTCCACAAATTAAATATACTGACTCAACAAGATAAATGAGGACATAATGCTTTACAAAACCTTTCTATATTGCGTCGTACCAAACAACAAATCTAAAAAATAAATTTATACAAATGTGACAAAATGTTGTCTTTTATTCTTCCTGTGCATGTCAGGTCACAAAGGAAGGCAAAAGTAACAAGAAGCATCTGGGGGAAGCCACTAAGGCCTAGCGTATGTCAACAGGTCCGACTAAGGGCTGGATTCACCTTCTTTGCTGCCCCAAGGCCAGGTTCCTCAATGTGCCCCCCTACCCGTCAATGGAGAATGGCAGACCTGCAGGCTGCATACAAGTGATCTTGGCCACATCGCCGAGATCATTTGTACAAAACAAGTGGCGGCTTCCCCACTGTATATTTAGCTCTGCTTGCCCAAAGCAGGGCTGAATGTAGAAAACAACTACCCTCCCGGTGCCCGGGACTGTATGTCTGGGACATTGGGAGATAGGAATTCAACACCCCTGCTGCCCCTCCACTTCCTGCTGCACCGAGGCCGGGCCTTGGTTGGCCTTGTGGGAAATCCGGCCCTGGTCCCACTGGCTTGCATGCAAATTCTGTAGGGAAAGTTGTTGCATTATAGCAGTAAAATCTTCTGTCTAATAGCATATCTCCCAACCTTCTGAGATGAGAAAGATGGGCACCTTCCAGCACAATGTATGTAGGCAAAGGACACATCCCCACTACGCCCCCCAGTTGTGCAGACCACTAAAAATATATTTGCCAAAAATGATTGGTTAAAACCGAATTTTACTTTCTCACCATTTCTTTTTCTCCACTGGCATATTAAAGTAGTAAACAAGATCATTAAAAAAATAAAATAAAGGTTTTAGTGCTCAAAAACACTTGGGTAGTTAAATGGTACCAGTGCGCTCTGTGTCAAATGTGGAACTTACATTGATGTTCCCTTGGCATATGAACCTATGCCTGGCAATAATAAAGATGAACACTAGGCAGATATAAAAAAAAACACAAAAATGTAGTTCTGTGCTTATAAATACACAAATAATGTATTTAATTTATATAAGCATTACAATTACCTGGCCCTGTACAGCAGAGCTCAGAGTAGGAGAGGAAGAAACAGTACAAGGAGCCAGTCAATGTGAATAAAGCAGAGCAACAGAGAGATAAATATATCGCTATGCTGCTTCTGTTTCACTTTCCAGTCACAGGATGGGCAGATTCTCTGTGCTCAGAGAAAGGGGGTTAAATAATGCTGGCCATCATTCCATCCCAAGGCTCCTTTTTTTTATTCTATCTGCCATTATTTATTTCTTTTTTTTATGAGTTTGTATTAGCTGTTATTTTGCTGTTGTTGTTGTTTTTTACGGTAGCTATGCTTTAATCTTCAGCTTGCCAATGCCTAACATTTAAGAATGGGTTAGGTGCCCTTTTATACAGTTACTTTAAAGAAATAGAGGGGAATTTATCAAAACTGAAACAGTTGCCAGGGGCAACCAATCAGCTTCTCTCATCAGCTTGTTCAGTTAAGATTTGAAAATGAAACAAAGAAGCTGATTGGTTGCTGAGCACAGTTGCTCCAGATTATGTTTGCTCCAGTTTTGATAAATTCCCCTCATACTCTTTTTCCTGTTAGTGCAAATGAGTTGGGTTTTACAAGGACTTTTTTTTACCGTCCTCTTTATTACTAGGGGCTAGGAGTTATTAGGATCGCAAGTTTTTTTTAACACACACACACATATATATATATATATCTCTATACATATAGAGATTTATATAGATAGATATATATATATAGTTGGGGCGAAATGTACATATATAACTAAGTAACCTTAGCAGCTGATCTTCAAGGCCAGATCTGGTCACAGTGAAATTGATTACAGTCACTTTGATGCACACCTAAATAAAAAAAGAGAGACAAAGTAAAAGACAAAGGTAGGATGCAATAACACAGGGGTAGGCACTTCAACTGTGTTGGAACTACAAGTCCGATTAGGGACAGCCACAGACATGACTTCGATTGGCAGAGGCATGACGGGATTTGTATTTTCATTACAGCTGGAGGATCGAGGTTGCCTATTCCTACAACAGCAGAGGATAAAGTGTGCATATTGTATATACAGGAAACATACTGTCACTGGTAAATATACCTAATGAAATGTATAAGCTTGATTATATTAGAAGAAAGAGCACTGGTGTTCATTGACACATAGCAACAAATCAGAAATGAACTTCCAACATCTTAGGCCCCGTTCACATTGAGCGATTTATCGCGCGATTTTTGTAGCGATATCGCTCATATTTCCGCACTATATATGACCCCATTCACATTGAGCGACATGCAAATCGCGCGACTTTGAGCGACATTGAGCGACGAGCGACATTGAGCGACATTGAGCGACGTGTCGCGCGACATCTTCCTATTGGGCTGTATGCAATCAGGAGCAATATCGCTCAAAATCGCTCTAAAAAAGGGTCATGTAGAAGCGACAAGCTACCAGCGACGAGCTACAAGCGATATTGAGCGATATTGAGCGACATTGAGCGACGAGATGTGAACAGCTACATTGAATTGTATTGGTGAAGCTACATAGAGCGATATAGGCCCCGTTCACATTGAGCGATTTATCGCGCGATTTTTGTAGCGATATCGCTCATATTTCCGCACTATATCGCTCTATGTAGCTTCACCAATACAATTCAATGTAGCTGTTCACATCTCGTCGCTCAATGTCGCTCAATATCGCTCAATATCGCTTGTAGCTCGTCGCTGGTAGCTTGTCGCTTCTACATGACCCTTTTTTAGAGCGATTTTGAGCGATATTGCTCCTGATTGCATACAGCCCAATAGGAAGATGTCGCGCGATGTCGCGCGACACGTCGCTCAACGTCGCTCAATGTCGCTCGTCGCTCAATGTCGCTCAATGTCGCTCAAAGTCGCGCGATTTGCATGTCGCTCAGTGTGAATGGGGTCTTAGAGCAGTCTTTCTGGAGCTTATTCTCTATAGCTATGAATTGCTTCAGACCACTGCTATACATACTATATTATGAAAACCCCATTTATGTACTCAGCTTAACTATAAATTCCAGGCCTGCTGGTGCCGATCCCCACTACTGCCGATATTTCAGCTCGGTGGTTTCATTTTGTTTTACAGGTTCTGGAACTCTTGTTCTTTTAAGGTGGTCAAGCCTGAATAAATCTGCCTTATGTTACTGTTTGAAGAAGCTGTCAGGACAACCTTTCATCAAACTGCTACAGCCATGCTACACCAGTTACAGTGGGCCTTGGGCTGATTGATGACAAATGGAACAAATGTAAAGCTGTTTTTCCTCCCAAACCAATAAGAAGGTTTCAACTTATGGTTAAAACTAGTGTAGAGGAACTGGGCATTATACCCAAAGTTAATTGAGTCTTCACAATGCAGTCAAATAGTGTTTTAAAAGTATAAAACCGTTTGTGTTAGATATTGTAGCCAATCAGATTTTAGTTGTGTTGGGTTTTTGTAGTAAAAATGACAAGAACATATCCTTCATCTGTTACTAACGGCAGCACAGACACTTTTGCTTGAGAAATGTTTGATAGGTTCCACTGAAGTCCATGATGTGGGCTCTTCAGAAAACTATGCTATTTGCCACACCATCATTATTTCATTTACACTCGGGGCTTAGCTATACACTGGATCTTTAGTTGCATAGAAAATGACACAAAACCATTCACTCCACTGACTAGGATTAATCACCCTGACTGTAACATTGGCTGCTTATGCATTGTGAATCATGCTACAGGGTAGCACACAAATGCAATTAACCAACTAATTTCCCCTAAGTCTTATAAATAATCCCCAATGTGTTTTATGATCAAACTCCTGTAGTATGGGAGCTAGTGCTTGTGTCATTTTCATCAGTGCAAATTGTGTTATATGTATAGCAAGTCTTTGAAAATCTTTCTAATAAATAAAACAAAAATCACATTTAGCTGAAATCTATTGCAATTGCCATAAACCAGAAGATATTTAATTTCTTGTTGTAAGTTTTCAGCTACATTAAATTGTTTTGAATATTTGTCTACCAGCATGTGTGACACCACTAAAAAGGTCAGCGCAACTATTCGGGGAAGAATATTCGTTTACAAATATAACAATCTGGCAACTCAGTGAAGCAATGGCTGCTGCAGGCTGCAGTAAATACATATAATCTTCCAAATCAATTACATTTAATAACGTTGACTGGATTATGATACGTAAAGTACATTACTGATTTAACAAGCTAGGCTCAAAATAATTTTTATTTCAAGGTCTTTTAATGCTTATTTTCACAAATGATATGTACACAGTGTAATGACAGGCACCTTGCTTTACCATTTTTTTTTACAGGTAGAGTCAACACAGCAGTTGAAGTTTCCAACTTGCCACGAGCAGCTTTATTGCATTTCTAGCATTAAACTGACACCTGCATTATTTAAACTGGACTTTGCACTAAAATACAAGGTCTGCCTATTACATTGCAGCCCATGCCTCCTTTCTGTTGAGATCCTGGGAATGCTGAGTATTCAAAATCTTGTGATAAGATGCTACAGCAGGGGTGTCGCCTAATGAGATTTGGGATCCTCAGTGGAAGATGGGTATAGGGAAAACAAGTATTGTTTCTAACTTTTCTACACAGATTTTTTTTTCTCGCTATGACACAGTGATAAGAGTGGGACAAAATGTAATAAGCAGACCTTGCATTTTATTGGAAAGTCCACTTTAACTAATTGAAAAAACATAGACAGAATCTCCACTCAAATAAAACATAAAATGCTAAATAAATCATATACTGTCTGGCACTTATTACATAGTCAAGTTCCTCTCTATGTTAACAGTCACATTTTGCAATAAGATCTGCAAAACATAAACTTTACACTTACAAGGCTGCCACCACCACAGTCTCTCTCTCACACTCTCTCTCTCTCTCTCTCTCTCTCGCTCGCTCTATTTAGAGACCACCTGCTGCCCCCAAATGCAGTTCCTTCTCCATATTAGCAGCAAAATGTATAAGGATCGCATTTCAGAAACAAGCTCACCCTACTAGAGCCGAACTGGCCTTCCCAGTGCTTTTCTCACAACACACATAAGATTCATTAAAGGAAAAATGTGTCAACTGTCATTGTTAAACTCTTGTCTAACAGTTATATAATCCAAATTAATAGATAAATGGCTTAAACCAACAATTGATTTTGACCATAATGAAGGAAAAAAATTGATGGGGCAGGGAGAAAAATTCTTCCTGAACAAACTAAATTCTAACCGTGAATGTGGTTCTCATTCAAGAAACTCCATTAATTTCCAAAATGAAATGTTAAAATTCAAACATTTTGAATTTCGAATGATATTCTACAAGTCTCTAATGGCATTATCCAATGTTCTGATGTAAACGTCCATGTGAAAATCTTCCAGTGTATATCCTACTTAAAGTGTATCTCCACTTTTGCAGCCAAATTGGGATAACACCTATTTTATATTTTGTTACATGTTCCCATTCACATAGCAGTTTAAATAGCTGTTACTTGGGTTAGTGTTTTAAGGGTTAAAATGTATTCTTCTATTTCTTTGAAATGTTAGGAGGGGTTGTAAGGGGTTAGGGGTCTTGTCCATTGAGAGGTGGCTTACCCATCCAATCCTCAAATTTCAGTCCCAAGACTTTCATTGGGACAGACCAGTCTGAAAGGGCCATGAAAAACCTGGAATCAGCCATCTTGCCTGATTTAATAAAACATCTAAAAGGTAAGACATCTTTTTTTAAAGTTATTTTTCAATATGTTCTGTGACCAGGAACACATAAGGAACATATGGAGGGGTTTTCTTAAATTTTACTACAAAAGTGGAAATACAGTTTACGACAAGTGCTAATAACAGCCAATGAGTTCAACATGACATCTTTTCATGCTTTACATCTTTCTTCTAGCTAACAGCTGTGTCCATCACACTTCACTCCACCTAGTATAATCTAGAGTTTGATAACATGCAGACATACACAATGTGGGAGATTTTATCAAAGGTGCAGCAATGGTAGCTGCCAACATTTAATTCCCCTTCTGAAAATATTAGTCCTGTGACTGATGCCTCTTTTTCTGACTTTCTATATCTGCATACTGGTTTCTGGTCAGTGACATTATTGAAGTCAGTGGGTGAGCATAAAATCCAGGAAACTATGATTTTCACAAAGAGGTCCTGTTTAATGATACATTTGCTTTCAGTCACTGATTGGTAACCATTCTCAAATCTTTCTTCTTTAGGCCTTGCATAAATCACCATGACCTTAACTAACTTTTAATTTTGATATATTTTTGGAACTATCTGCGTGACAAGTGTTACTACAATATAAATCGCAGATCATTCCGATTCAGTGTCACAGTGATGAATGTGGAATGGCTGTTTTTTCCTTACCTCGGGAAGATAATGTGGATTTGGCATTTTAGTCGTCATATAGAACCTAAAGTTCTTGTCATAATCAATGTCAGAGTCTCCAAGACGAATTAGCATTCTTCCGCCTGACACAAAGGTCTGCTTCAGAAGAACTGGCTCCAGAGCAGGATCTAAACTTTCCTTCAGCTTTAATTAAAAAAACACAGTATCATACATAGCTCAAGCCACAATTATCGTACACGTTGTGAATTAATGCAGAATATAACTCTTCTAAATGCGTACACATTCGAAGCTCAGCTCAGAAAAGTTAATTGTTGATGAATATTTCCTTCTGAAATGTTCTATTAAGTATACAGTATTTTGTTTGTTTTATGGTCATTCCTTGGTAATTGGTATTTTAAAATTCTCAATGCCTGCTTTCACATGCATAGTGTGCTTTATATATAACCTGTCATTAGTTTAAAATACAATATTTCAGCAATGCTAAATCATCCTGGGTATTACATAATATGTTATTTCTTCAAATATCAATTAGTTCATTTCAGAGTAATCAGTGATGAATTATGTATGTTAAGAGAGCAAATAATCTGCAGGACTATAAAGTGAGATTTAGGGCAGCTGATTTATTAAATGCTTTTATTAAATACTTGCTTTTCTGGAGAAAGTAGCTAGGCTGAATCATAACAAACAACAGGGCTCTAAAATATGCAGTCATCAGAAACAAATTTAGTGTTTTGAGGCATTTGATTTCGTGCCATCTTAAGAGGGAATAATTTGCACTGTTTTCAAGCAGATGCAATCAGGCTGGGAAATGGACATTGGGGTTGGTCCTCCATCAGAATTACTAACATTAAAATAACATCATAACCTAACAGGGTTATATCTTATCCCCTAGAAATGCAAGAACACTTCACCAAAGGGTGTTTATTGTATCTTTTATCTTTGCATTAGTACTGAATGTCTTACAGTAATGTCTTAAAGTTTATTGTATTACAATTTATAGGCAATGTTTTATGAGAGCCTGAATTAATTAGATTTTCACTGCATTAGTCTCTGTGACTTTACTCACCTGTAATATATTTAAAATAAGGAAAAAAAAGATAGTTACAGAGGAAAGAGGAGGAGGAGGACAGAATAGGGCATTTTAAGCTGGCCACATCTTACAATCTGATTAATGAAGATCTCATTAAAGTGGATCTGTGCTCAGACTACACACACTCAATTATTTTAATATTCTAAAGAAGAAGTAAAGGGACTTTAAAACAAGCCTTCATTTACCTCTGTAGCTATAGGCATTGTGGAAAAAGGTATCATTCAATGTCACAACAAAGGCATAGAAATCTTAGATCTTTTTCTATTACTTTCTATTGCTACAGAATCTTGGTGGTCTGCCAGCCATTTAATTTTATCTCATCACTAATAAAACAGTATAACAACCATTGGTGAAATATGATAAATATAATTTCTCTCCTAAATTATGTAAAAAGATACAATTGCAAAGATGATGACATTTTATAACTAGATAAAATGTATTCTTGCAGTGGAATTCTTGATTCAGCAAAGCCCAGTGACTAGGTTTTAACATGTATCAGAATGGTAAATGAAAGATTACCTTTGGTCCTGTCACAATATCCGGAAATCCGTGCCGGATTTTCGATATGCTCCCTGTTTCTGGGCTGTCAGCCTATGGTGTCTCACAAGGCTGCAGCCAATCTGCTCTCCTTCTCCCCTATTTAGGAGTTCCTCACTTGTACCCTCCCGAAACACAAAAATGAAGCAATTTACAAAAGTAAACAATACAATGGCAAGTATAAATACTAATTAGGAAAAGAATGTGCAAGGGCAAGCCTAAGCAGAGCATACTAATTAAGCTCATAAGAAAAAAAAGATCTCTAGAGATGGGCTTCTCTTCTACCAATACTGTCCTGTACGATATGCTTGTTATCCAGGGATTTTATGAGAACCAGTTCAGCAGCACATTGGAAAATCAATGTGAAAAAGGAAGTTCTGTTTGTCCAAGAACTACCTTTAGAATGACAAGGGCATTAACTGAAAAGAGCCTTTGTACTATTCATTACAAACACACACCAAAGTCTTCCTGAAGGAAGCCTTTGTTTACTGCATTCAATCACAAAATTCTTCAATGGTAATAAAAAAAAAAAAATGTCAGGATTCCAATCAAGGATGATTTGACAATATATGGCACTAGCTAAGCCCTTCTAAACGTTATCTCCCCGACCTGCAGATAGGCGTATGTCACTGGCAGCTTCTTATTACTTATCACTCTAACTGGCTTCTGTGTTAAACACAATGAAAAGATAACAGGATTCTGCTTATTGATAATGATTTTGTTTTCTTTTATGTGGCCGTAGTTACCAATTGCCATGTGTATTAGTCACCAGACAGCAGGCAAGGCTGCAGTTTGTCTTTTAACCACCTTCCGTTTTCATGAAAAGAGACCCTGTCACCAGACCATTCATTTCAATAACAATCTTCATATAAAACTATATGTGCATGTAACATATTTTAAGCATGTTATTTATCTGTAAAAAAAAACTTCCTTTGTGTAGATATCCAAAAGCTCCTGGACAGCTGCTGCCATCTTGCATGTGATGTCAGTAGCCCCAACAGACACAACGCTGTCAGTCAAGAAACACTGTATAATACTCGCCTTTGCTCCTCCCTTATGTGGGGAGATGAGGGGGGGAGTCAAGGCCTGGGACAGCACAGACAGTAATTAGACACTGCTAGAAAGGAGAGTGCTATGATGGGCAAGGAGGAATGGGGCTGTGCTAGCACATTTACTCTTTATTCTAAAGAAGTCAGATTTGCTAGAAAGTTCTAAGGTACATTGCAAATCAATAAAAACAATTATTTTATGGAAAGCATAAACTATTGAAGTAAACATTTAAGATAGTTAATTTGTCTGTGTTTTTGCCTGCATTAGTTTAGTGACAGGGTACATTAAAAGTAGCAGATATCGCATTAACAAAACACTTGGCAGTAGAACTATTTTTTTTTACAGCAAGCACATAAACATGTATGCTTACAACCTATACGTATTCTTGTTCATTCTTTCCGAGAGTACCCACATAAACTAAAAAAAAAAACCCAAGACAATATGACACAAAATTAGATCAGTTTGTGCTTACCTCTTCTAACAAAACTGGCATTCCAAGCCTAATAGCATTCTCCAACGTCCGGAGAAAGCCAGCATCAGTTAGTTTAATGACTTTTAAGCCATTTTTGGTTTCTTTGTTTCTAATCCAACGATTAGCCTGAGGTATGAAAGTTTACGTAATTATTAAATAGTTGATAAATAAACCATCATCACACTTTTGCTGTAATAATATTTGTTTCAGTATCAAGCAGCTAGTAAACATAGAATATGATAAGGAAGTTGTTAAAAAGTTGAACCTGCATAAAATGGAATTACCACTCTAAAGTATACCTTGCATACTTAAGTTCTGATTCTTAAAGCCCAACTCTAACCTTAAAAAGTTCCCCTAGACAGCGTTAAAAAAAAAAGAAAAAATAAGCTCAGGCTGCAATAATCACCTTCAATGCTGAGTTGTCTCTAGCAGTACCTCTTCTCTGCCACAAATGTCCTCAGTGATATCTTATTTGTAATTCTTGACTTTCACAAGTACAGTAGTGCCTCTATCATTTATTCTTCCTCCATGTTTTCATAAGGACTGTCTATAAGAGTCCTAGGACTATTAAAACTGCCTGATAATCTCAACATAATGCCCATGAGAAAATAGAGCACATGTAGCAGTCCAGCTCTTCTCACCATTATAACTATACAAAATATCCCCAGTCTACCGGGTTGAAGGGCGCCCAGTGTCACTTAATCAGGAAGACAGAGAACATACTGTAATGATACAGAAACTGGTGCTGTATCAATGAGGACTGCACCCCCCCCCCTCCCAACACCCCCAGGGGAAAAGAGGAATAGGTTTCTACAGTATCATGTGACTGGCCTGAAGACATTTGTAAAAGGTAAGCATACAAAAGCAAAAGATATTGCTAGTAGAGGCCACAAGGTGGGTTGATTTGTGGGTGGAGGGAAGCACGGAGCCCAGAATTGAGCTTAAAGAACAATATCCATTGCAATAAACCAGAACTCATCTTGTACTCATCTGGCCTCAGCAAAATACATTCTAATTGGATCAACAGCTAAGATTTAGCATTTACAACTGAACTACCGTATATATAATCTAAGTATACTTCATTTATCCGCGATATGCTTCTGTGTCCTGGAATAACAAAAAAAGCACGTACACTGGACTGTGTTGAATTTCAAGGAATGTGGAAATATTTGCACATATTTCAGCACATTTGTTTATATGTCTGAATTGTATGTGTGTATATAT